TGACCCTTTTTGGAAAAAGGTTTTAAATGGTTAATTAATGTTCTATTAGACCGAAAAAAAATGTATTGTATTTTTTTTAACCTAGAAAGCTACAAATCTTTAATTTTAAAATAGACTTTTCATGGACATACAAAAACGCTGTCGGCCATTTTAGTCTATAGATTATCTATGCTATGACGTGAACTGTGGTAAACAAAAACTCGTAAACACGTAGAAAATTACTTTTAACTGGGTTTATAATAAAAAAAAAACATGATTTCTAATAAATACCACTAAAAATAAAGTAATTATCATTACTGTATTGTACGAGAATATAAAAACACATCCTTGAAGACTCCAGGAAAGTTGTGGATTAAAGTGCCGAAAGAAATTAACCTACGCAACTTTATTACACTTATTCATATGTTGTATCAGTTTTATGTTTATTACTACATTGTAATACTAAATGCACTGTACTTACATAGATGCCTTGTCGTTTCTCTGCTCCGCAGAGCAGAAATCGGGGTTTAGTGCAACAAATTCACCAACCATCAATGCGTCAATTCTTGGCAGATTTGTGCTTTCTGCTTTCACAAAGCCGGCATCCATAATTAGTTTTGTCAAAAAACTGTTTTTTTTTCTTTCCTAAAGTTAAAAGTGTTTTAAGATAAATTTAGTCAGACGAAAGAATCCACCTACAGTAACACGCGAATGACATTTAGTTGTTTACCACAAGAGACGTCAAAATCATGGCGGATGTGGCGAACAGCGTTTTTAGTGTTTAAAAAATATAGACTAAAAAATATTTTTTAAAATTAAATTTCTACAGCAATCTTCTGCTTTTATGAAGTGAAATCGATATATTAAGGTTCCTTAGACTAAATACTTTAAGAAATAAACATTTATTTAATACAATTCGACATGAGTAAACTAGCCTATTTGCATGTTGCTTATTGAACAACCTAAACCCGGATTGTGATCAGATAATGATTTAATTTGGTCAAAAAAGTGACTGAAGTCAACAATTCTTCGACCTTCAATTCGAAACGGTGAACTGGTTCTACGTCGGTGATTTGCTTCTACGTCCTGAAACAAATATATAGATACTGAGTGATATTGTCTCAATGGTCATTACAAAAATTTCAATAATATTATAATCGAATGATCTTAAAATTTCAAATTCTGGAATATCGTTCAATTCCTTTACAGTACTTTGCGACTACAAAATCTTCTATTAATGATGAGACGATATCCTAAAAAAAGTGTTAGGAACTGTCTAGGTCGGTAGAACTCAACAATATATTGCATCTTAAAAAATAATTTATGACTATTATTTTTCGCAATGACACATAATGATTGATGACATCATAGTTAACATCTATGAAATTCTCTTTCGGTTTTGATAAGAAGTGCAGAAACTATTTATACATTTAAAAACCACCTGAATTCCCATTATCTGACATTGTAATACTTTTCTTTTAATATCTGATGTGCTTACAACTGCCTCCTAACTGGACTGGATCAATGTATGTATTTGTATTTATAATTTTTGTATGTACATCACGTGTACAAGATGCTTTTGTACTTAATGTTCAATGTTTTTTGTGGTGTACAATAAGTGGTTTTTGTATTGTATAATGAATATATACGCTGAAAGCTCACTTTAGAGCAATTTTCATTTCATTCACCTTTAAACAAAACCAGTCGAAATTTTTTATTTTTCTTTCACTAGCCATACTATTTAAAATACTTCCGTAATCTGCATCACCATAGTTTATTGCATCATTGGGCTTACTCGACTGTTCTTCAATAGAATTCTTTTTTTGTCTGAAAGAGTAAACCTACTCATATATTCAATTTAAAAAAGCTATTAAAGTAAACCTAATTAAGTGCAGGCGCACAGACCAGACAAAAATAAGCACATTTTACGCGGGTGGTATTTAACATATATATATACAAACCTTTTAGCTCTTGCTTTAGCCATATTTTCAAAATTTTTGCGTTTTCTCTTTCCCAAAAATCGCTTCGTTTTATTTCCCATTCCGTCTGAAACATAATTTGTTGTCACTATCAAATAATGTCGGTCAAAAAACTTACTCAAGTACTTACGATCACTATAAAATGTTGCTGATCATCAAAAATAAAATTTTACTTACCAAAGTACTAAGATTTGACGAGTACGCTAACTTGAGCTGTCCTTGGAACTACGCGTACGCACGGCAAAGGTCAATAGCGGTCAAGCAGAGCGCAAAGCGACGTGTACTCTCTCTGGAAGGGCTCGCTGCCGACTGATTTGAATAGATTCGAGCGCAGAGTTTTATAGTAGTTTTAAAATATTTATAGAAAAATAATAGAGCTAATTTAGTTTACTTTTTTAATCGTAACTTATAAAGGATGCATTCTTCTATTACAATTAATATAAAAAATATTAAATTAAGTAATATGTATTGGTTAAAAAAATCATTTCATCGACTATAATTTCTAAAAAAATTCACTTTGTATGGATTTTAATTTCATGAGTTTGGAAGCTAAAACAAAAAATCCCTTTAACTAATGATTTTCTTAAGGATCTTTGCTGTTAGTTAAAAATTTTTGTTTATTAGATCTGTCAGGAATTTCAGATATTTTTAGCTTCGAAATTGACACTGAGAGTGAAATCGAGTAAACCTCTGTTCAGTTATCTTGATGGTATTCACAAATAATGTTTTAATCGAAAAAAAAACTTTAACTAACGACATAGATTAAAACATTTTCTAAAATTATAAGCAATTCACGTGTTTGTAAGATAATCGGTTGGTGGACAATCTGGTTTGAAAAATCACGTTTTTTAGCAAAAAAGCGCACGGAGCGCGTATACGCTCTTAAGGTATATTAGGTAAAATTTTAATACAAACTGTTTGATATAGATATGGTAAATGTGGTGTTTACCTATAATTATTTGTAACACTGATATAAGTGTCTCCGTGTGTATAATTGTAAATGCTTAAGTATTACAATTGTTGGTAAGCCTTTTAATAAATAAATAAATAAAAAAAAATATTTGGTAGTATCCTTCTTAATTTCTGCTTTTAAAGATAGGGTCGATTGGTTCTCTTTTTTCATAATATAACAACAGCAGCTCGTCATCCTCCTCTACTTCTTCAAAAATGTTAATTAGCACTTCGACCATGATTTTGTAGACACACGTCTAAGGGGATCTGCCGAACAACACCAACTAACTTTGAGACACGGCCGCGCACGGCTCACGACAGTCGTCGGCCGCGCGCATCTTCGCCTGCCTCGGAAGCGGTGCCATTCATTTTCATACTATGACTATTATCGCGAGCGACCGACGACAGTTGTAGGCCGCGCGCGGCCGCGATCGTTCGCGATGCACGGAATTGTACCTTAAGAATAGAGTGGGGAAGGCGGCTCTAAAAGTGTCCATCTAGTAGAAAGAGAAAAAAGATGAGAGACCGCTAGCTATCTCTCTCTCTTGTGACACATGGCATCCAATGGCATCACATCGAAATAGAAGGATGCTTACGGTTGTAAATGCGCATGCGCGATTCGAGAGAGAAAGCTAGCGGTCTCTCATCTTCTTTCTCTTTCTATTAAGGGACACTTCCATTTGTAGTAGAGTCTATATCTCCCCTACTCTATTCTTATACCTCTATGATCATAACACTACTATAGTAATGAAAGACTACAGCAAAATAACACTACCTCTTGTGGGTGTTGTGTTTCTGTCGATGAAGTTAATTATGAATATTAGATTTTTTTTAGTTAGTTATGGAGCTTGTAGACAAAATGTGTCGTGTATTGATGCAATTTTAGCGTTAACTAAAGCGTGAGTAACTAAAGCGCGCGCGGCTCACGACAGTCGTCGGCCGCGCGCGTCTGTCGCCGGCCTCGGAAGCGGTGCCATACATTTTCATACTATGACTTCTTGTCGTGAGCGTCCGGCGACAGTCGTAGGCCGCGCGCGGCCGCAATCGATCGCGATGCACGTAATAGTAGAATTTTGAACGTAATAGTAGACCTTATGAATAGTGTGGGGAAGGCGGCTCTAAAAGTGTCCGTCTAGTAGAAAGAGAAAAAAAGATGTGAGACCTCTAGCTATCTCTCCCTCTTGTGACGCATGGCATCCAATGGCATCACAACGAAATATTAAGTTACTTACGGTTGTAAATGCGCATGCGCGTTTAGAGAGAGAAAGCTAGCGGTCTCTCATCTTCTTTCTCTTTCTATTAGAGGGACACTTCCATTTGTAGTAGAGTCTATATCTCCCCTACTCTATTCTTATACCTCTATGATCATAACACTACTATAGTAATGAAAGACCACAGCAAATTAACACTACCTTTTGTTTGTGTTGTGTTTCTGTCGATGAAGGTAATTATGAATATTAGATTTTTTTAGTTAGTTATGGAGCTTGTAGACAAAATGTGTCGTGTATTGATGCAATTTTAGCGTTAACTAAAGCGTGATGTTTGTTCAAAAATATTTACAATATTTTTGTTTGCAAAATGATAACTCCACCGAGTCTGACACTTCCACAACGCCTCCATCTCATGCAACCTGACACAACGACACTAGCTAACAGGGAACACTTATAATTGTACCTGTTCCGGACGCGCTTCGCCTCCACCACGCCAGGCGCGTGGCCGCCAGGCTGAAGCTCTCCGTGGGCGCGCACCACCCCTCCATCTCATGCAACCTGACACAACGACACTAGCTAACAGGGAACACTTATAATTGTACCTGTTCCGGACGCGCCTCGCCTCCCCCACGCAACGCGCGTGGCCGCCAGGCTGAAGCTCTCCGTGGGCGCGCACCACCCCTCCATCTCATGCAACCTGACACAACGACACTAGCTAACAGGGAACACTTATAATTGTACCTTTTCCGGACGCGCCTCGCCTCCACCACGCCAGGCGCGTGGCCGCCAGGCTGAAGCTCTCCGTGGGCGCGCACCACCCCTCCATCTCATGCAACCTGACACAACGACACTAGCTAACAGGGAACACTTATAATTGTACCTGTTCCGGACGCGCCTCGCCTCCACCACGCAAGGCGCGTGGCCGCCAGGCTGAAGCTCTCCGTGGGCGCGCACCACGCCTCCGCCGACCACGGCGCCGCCTCGTACAACCTGACACAATCACACTAGCTATAGTGCGACAAGGATGTTTATCACGCTCAGCACCATGCCCTATATGCCAATACCACCTAAATTTTACTTTAAAATAACCCTGTCTGCGCGTCGCGCTTCGCGCTCTTGCATTGCGCAGCCGGGTAAAAAGCATTTGTTTTTACCTTTTCCCTATAATTTATTATTAATAATTTTAAAAAAATGACCATACCCAACCCTAATATAACAGAGAAATCCCCTAGGCCAGAGCAATATTTTCGTAGTATAAAATGTACAAAAACTGTGCGCGTTAACGATACACGAGGCTAAAGACTGGGGTCTTTTCGTATATCGAAAAAGATACACAAGTGTTTGAGTTTAAGTTTTCAAGTTATAATAGTAATCAATGTATATCGAAAACGATACACATGGCGCTTAGAGTGTTAAATTAAGAATGTGGCAAAAATTGGAACTAACGCCGCCGTCTTTGTAATCGACAATTTTGTAGTGACATTTTTAAAGATCCTTGTCGCATTGTAATAAAGAATATGCGTGTAATTCAAATAAAGCTCAATTTATTTTTGAGCACGAAATTAAATATTGTATTGTGCTAAGAACCTGTGGGTAATTCATATATCTGAAACTCGACAAAGCGGTTGGTGCGTAGAAGTCCCAACAACAATTCAACAAACAAGCGCCATGTTCACAGTATATGTCGGGTAGCTACACACATAAGCGGGCCGGCATTAAACGACACCAGCCGGGCGGTAAAATCGAATGTGTTGATGAATTTTTGGCAGTAATTAGCGGTCTAGCGTGAGTCATCCTTTGAAGGTCTCTTATTTAAAACATGTATTTCTGAAATATAAAATTCTTTAAAAACCATTTATAACAGTCGAATAGTGGAAGTACACCATTTGAAACAGCATGCTGCTACCTGTTACATAGCAAATTTATTATTATAGTAAAACAAAATTCACCTTAGTTCACGATCCGTAATAGCAACGAAGGTTGGTTGCCATCCATCCGCCTCATCGGAGCTATCTGAACCACCAGACGCACTTATCTGTAAAAAAGTTGTCGCCGTTACTTTCTATTTTGCGATAACAAAATAGAATAAGCTGACACCTGACATCATGAAATATTAAAATTAACTGACGAAAATGACGTCCATTTAAAATGAAATGAAAAGGTAGGTACTTGAAACCACTCGTTTAGTGGTAAATGTCTTTGTCACAATCTCAATATTAATAAATACAAAGAACTCTCTGCGAACACATATTTTCGCTCTATTTGCTATGACCACACAATACATATGGCATAGCTTTCCAATGTCAAAGTATATGCCCTTGTGCTAATATTATAAATGTGAAAGTTTGTATGTTTTTTGCAATGCAATGACGTAAAAACTACTGAACAGATTTGGATGAAATTTAGTACGCACATAGTTCATGACCTGGAATTAGACAAATGACACTATTTATGCCAGAAAAATGTTAGGTTTTCGGGGGATTCCCAAAAAACTGAAGCTAAGGCGGACGAAGTCGTGGGTGGGTGGTGGTGGTGGTGGTATGATTATAAAGAAGTGTGCAAGATTTGACAGGAAAATGTACCTGGAAAACTACGACACTTTTATTTTAACTTGCTTAAGTTATCAAGTTAGAAGGGCAATTAGTCCAGTTACATGATAACAATGGTATTATTATTATTAAGGACTAAATAATGAATGAATGTAATGAATTTGTTAATTACCTATTATTATGTAATTTCTTTTGTGAATGGGCTTATTGTATTGTATTTGTAATATAATGAATTGAATCTGTAATTACTAACATAGAAATTAAGTATCAAATTGTTACTATATAACAACTTAGGTCTACGTAGGGTCTACGTAATCTTCATCATCATCATCAGCCTATTAATGTCCCCACTGCTGGGGTACAGGCCTTCCCTATGGATGGAATAGGGAGATTTGGCAATAACCCACCACGCGGGCCCAGTGCGGATTGGCGGGTCCTAACGACTGCAGATGCAGCCAGGACCAACGGCTTCACGTGCCTTCCGAAGCACGGAGGAACTCGAGATAGAAGATTTTTGGTCACCCATTCAATGACTGACCACTGCAAGAGTTGCTTAACTTCAATGATCGCAGCCGAACGCGCTAACCACCCGCGCCATCGAGAGGAAATTATTATGAACACATACGTGGTCTTGTGGGGGCCTGCGTGCGAGCCATCCGGCATAGCGAACATCTCCCAGCAAGGAACGCAGGCGGGGTCGAGCGCGGGCAAGAGCAGCGCGCGCGGCTCGACGAGCCGCCGTGTGCAAGGCACGGTGCCAGCCCGCCGCCGTGGCCGCCGTGCCTGCTCTAAGGGCCAACGCGTGCACTCCGTCAGGTGAGTACACTTCGATAGTGCGATCCTCTGTCAACAAAAGCACGTAAAAGTCAATGTTGTTGACGTAATAACATAAATCGATGAAAAAGTATGACGTCATGTCATTGTCACGTTGTCACGAGTAAGCTCAACATACCCCGGCATGTCAGGTAAGGTCGAGGAGTTCCGTAGACCACACATCCCTCCCCCTGAACTCCACTCCCCTCCCCGTTACGCACTAAAGTTAGTATTACATTAGATATATAGTATGAAAGTTCCTGGCGAAATATTTGTTGAAGTAAATCTTTAGCGTCTATAGATTTCATTATCAGAAATGTTAATAAAATATTCTCAAACGATTTATTAAACAATTGAGGAGGGTTGTCTAAGTCTGGAATGAAAAACTTAATAAAAGGAAACACAATTGATTATTTTTTATTTATTTTTTATTATGGCTTGGCATAGTGGCTTTTGAGCCATTTATTTTAAGTGAGAGAGTGTGAATGATGAAATCAACTTTAAGTATGTTGTTCGTATGTTTTGCATCGCTTTACGCTTAAACTATATTTAATTATCTATCAAAAATATCAGGAAAAAATATTTTTCAATATTATACTGAAACCATAATAAATAATCTCCACAATACAAGAAGAGTAAGGCACCAATTCTAACGCAAAAAACTATAACTGTCACTGTCATGCTTGTAATCGAATTGTTGTTGATATTGTTATCATTATCGTTGCTTGTGCATGCATAGAACAGATTTAAATCGACATATTGTGTTTTTTTCTGAGATTGGCTTTTTTATGTGACTTGGACTTTGAAATCTTTCCCTGTTAAGTAGTGCTTGCCTAAGACTTCCTTATCTGATATTTTGGACGACTTCTTGCTGTGGATTTTGGACAAGATTCTGTCCCATACTGTGGATTTTATTTCATTAATTATCTACTATGATATTGTGATCAAAGAAGAAGTGGAATAAAAAATATATTAAAAAAATGTTTTATATTTAATTAATATCCCATTAGTACACTATTCATCATCATCATCATCAACAGCCTATCACTGCTGGACATAGGCCTCTCCAAATGCAACCCACTCAGATCGATCTTGGGCTACTCGCATCCAGCTCCTGCCAGCCACCTTGCGCAAATCGTCACTCCATCGTGCCTGAGGACGTCCTACACTACGTTTGCCTAGACGCGGTCTCCACTCCAGAACTCGTCTACCCCAACGGTTACCGGTTCTTCGGCAAATATGGCCAACCCACTGCCACTTCAACTTGCTAATCCGGTGGGCTATGTCGATAACTCTGGTTCTCTGTCGGATTACCTCATTTCTGATGCGATCTTTCAGAGAAACGCCGAGCATAGCCCTTTCCATAGCGCGCTGAGCGACTTTGAACCTGTGGACCAGCCGTGCCGTCAGTGTCCACGTCTCGGCTCCGTATGTCATCACAGGTAGGACGCACTGATTGAAGATTTTCGTCTTTAGGCACTGTGGGATCGACGATATCAGGACTTGACGTAGCTTCCCAAACGCTGCCCAACCCAGCTGAACTCTTCTATTCACCTCGTCCTCAAAGTTGTTTCTACCTAACTGCAATGTCTGCCCGAGGTAAACATGTTTTTGAACAACTTCGAGAACGGCACCGTGTATTGCAATCGGTTCCGGTAGAACATGTTCATTGAACATGACCTTGGTTTTATCCAAGTTCATCCGTAGGCCGATGCGTATAGAAGAGTCAGCCAGCATCTGTTGTAGGTCCTGCAGGGTTTCTGCCATGATGACGATGTCGTCTGCAAATAGCAAGTGAGAGATGCATTCGCCATTTATGTTCATGCCATGCCCTTTCCAGTTCAGCGTCTTGAACATATCCTCCATTGCATTAGTGAACAATTTCGGGGAAATAACGTCCCCTTGTCTCACTCCACGATGCAACGGTATGGGACTTGTTTGCTGATTCTGTACTTGGACAAACATGGTGGCGGCTTCGTAGAGACATCTTATCACTTGGATGTATCGCCAGTCGACTTGGCAACGCTGCAGGGACTCCAGGACAGACCAGATTTCAATCGAGTCAAAGGCCTTCTCATAGTCCACAAATGCTAGGCACAGGGGCTGATTGTACTCCTCAGTCTTCTGTATAATCTGCCGCACTGTGTGGATGTGGTCTATGGTGCCGTATCCGCTCCGAAACCCAGCCTGTTCCGGTGGTTGGAAGTCATCAAATCTTCGCGCAAGACGGTTCGCGATCACTCTTGAGAACAGCTTATAGACGTGGCTTAGAAGGGATATGGGTCGATAGTTCTTAAGTAGGGTCTTGTTCTCCTTTTTAAAGAACAAGACGACTACACTCCTACTCCACGCCTCCGGAGTTCTCCCTTCGAACAGGACAGTGTTAAAAAGCTTTTGGAGCTCCCTCAGTACGGGTTTACCTCCAGCCTTCAAAAGTTCTGTTGTAACACCATCCTCTCCAGGGGCTTTTCCATTTTTAAGCTGTCCTAGAGCAATCTCGATTTCGCCAATACTGACTTCTGGCAGGTCTTCGGTGAAGTGGCGTGTTAATGTAGCTCTAGAATCCTCATTTCCGGGATCGGGTCGAGATGCATGTGATGCGTATAACTGGCTGTAGAAGTCTTCCACTTCCGAAAGGACTGCCGACTTTGAAGCAACAACTTCCCCACTTGCTGTGGTCAACTTCGTCAGATGGCTTCTTCCAAGAGATTGTACGAACACTTTGGACCCTCGATTCTGCTGCTCGATCGCTCTCTCGATCGAGAGAGTATTGGAGCATCGGAGGTCGTGTTGTACGTGCTTACTGATCTCTTGGTTTAGAGTCCGCTTTGCCGACGAAGTGATGGGTGGGTTTTCACGTCGTTCCTTCATTAGCCCTAAAGTCTCTTCCGAAAGCTTTGACTTCCTGCCCTTACGCTGCGTTGCACATAGTCTCGTACCCTCTTCCCTAAGAATCCGAACCACATTTTCGAGGTTTTGGTTTATGTCTGATGTGGTTTCCACGGCAGCAAATCGGTTCTCCAGATTTGGCTGAAACGTTTCAGATCCTGTTATAGATTGGAGCAAAGTAGGTTGGAGCCTAGATCTCATCAAACGGACGCACTCGGCATTAAAGTTGATATTCAGAGAGCCCCGGACGAGTCGGTGATCACTACCGGTATTGAACCTATTCATCACGGAGACGTCTCTGAATATGTACCTCTTGTCCGTCATGATGAAATCGATCTCATTTTTAGTCATAGTGTCGGGGCTTTGCCATGTCCACTTCCTTTGGGGCTGTTTCTTGAAAAAAGAGTTCATCAAGAAGAGCCCCTGCTGTTCGAGGAAGTTGACGAGCATTTGCCCCCTATGATTTCTGCTTCCAAATCCATGGGATCCTACTACCGATTCGCTGCAATTCTGTACTCCCACTTTAACATTGAAGTCCCCCATAACAACGTTGTAGTGGGTCTTAGTAGTGGAGTGGAGGGCCCTCGATATATCATCGAACATATCCTCCACTTCGTCGTCCGAGTGTGTCGAGGTCGATACGTACACTTGCACCACCTTGAGGCTATACCTCTCGGTGAGCTTTATAATAAGGTAGGTACACTACCCTGTTCGACACGCTGGACATTTCCACAACGTTATCGGCAAGGGACTTATTTACCAAAAACCCAACACCACCTTGGGACTGTTGGTCTCCCCCGCGGAAGTACATTAGGTGGCCCGACTCGAGGGTTGTGGTGTCCCCTCTCTTCAGACTTCACTTAACCCTAAAATGTGCCACCTAATCTTTCCAAGTTCCACCTCGAGTTGCGCCAGATGCGAGTCAAGCCGTAGCGTGCGTACGTTGTACGTCGCCAGGGTCAGTCTTTTGTGGTGGCCTCCCGTAGCCCGGAGATTCTTGGCACCCCCCGCCCCACCGTTACCGTGGCCACCACCGTGACCAGGAATAGCGGGGCTGCCGGGAACTGGGGGGCGTGACTTGTGTTCTGTGTGCATTCAAGGTATTGCCCGTAATCGCCACGCTGGGCAGGCGGGTTGGCGATCGCAGAGCGTAGGTTTATTTACTGATGGCGCTGCTGCCCGTCACCAGTGAGATTTTCCTCCCCTAAGTCGTTGGATGGTTATACCGCCATCGGTCGGTTTGCCAGAACCTCGTCTGTTGGTCAACGGGGTGCACCACGTGAAGGTGAGGTTGGCTTGGGTTCTTGCAGGTGTATTTAGAACCCCTTACACCCCACTATTAGAAATCCTTTTTTATGCTTATTATTGCTGTGCATCTTATTATTGCATTTTCAAATTGTTAAGTAACTTCTTATAGCACAGACATTGTATTCGAACTAAATAACCCTGTTTAGTACTTACGCCCGCTGATCATACATTATAAAAAAACATTTTGTTTCGTTACTAATCTACGGGACCGGTTTAATTCTATAGTTCCGTCCCACGCATTTTTTATTCTGATATAAAAATACCTACTCTTGAAAAACCTTTTATAATTAGTTTTGTATTACTTGGTATGACCTTCAAAACTTCAAAGTAGAAAATCTATAAATCCAGACTTCCTATAATAAAAGAATTAAGACGAATCAAATTGAGAATGTAAACTCTATAACCTAATATGCAATTCATTTATAGATGCAAAAAAATTTTTCAACAAAATTTTTTATGTGAGTTCACCATTGTCCTTTGTGTAACAGACAATCCATTTAGATATTATTCAGCTAAAGTGACTTTAATTGGACTTTTTTGTCTAAATTCGCAGTTTTGCATTCATGTGAACCTACCTAATATCAATAGGCAAAATAATGTAACACATGTTACACCTTATTTGACTCGATTTTTCATACCACTGTATGGTATATTGGTCAAATTATAAAAGAAATACAATGTTTTACATAGGTATTTTAAAAATAAAAAATACTTGTTTTCACTGCTTATTTAAAGCAGTGATCTTGAAAGAAAATCTCAAGTCTCTTATATGTGTGCACCCTGTTAAACCTGTTACATGGAATGACCCATGAATTTATATTTTTTGAATACCACACAAAAAATACACATTTATACAGATTTTTTCTTTTTCTCAGAAAATGAAGAGGAGAAGAGTTTGTAAAGACATTTAAATGGTAAACAGATTCCAATTACCGGGATCATGATGTCGTAAGTTTTTTGCAACACATGCCATCAGTAAAGGTACATATCGTGTATCTGCCCGACGACGGCGAGGAGATGGCGGCGAGGGTGGCGCATCCGCCATGTAGCCTCGTTGCAATTCCCAACCAACTTCACTGATGATTGATGCCTTTCTAAAATATGGTGTCACTTCTCGCAAATATTTCACTGAAAATAATATTCAATTGACAATATCAGTGGTGTTACAATTATTCTACTAATCAAATTAACCCCACTTAAAGGTCATATTTAAGGACATATGTTACTATAATTGACCTTAATTAAAAGAATGGTCAGTGAATTTTTGTTTAAACTTGGTATGTGCCATGGGTAGGCTGAATGAATTTGCCACATTTTATAGTATATTACAAAAGGTTCCTGTAAAATTCACAAAAAACTACCAATCATGAGTTTTATATTATATATCTTCTTTGATTTTATTTTCTTTCTCTTTTTTATTCAGTGGTACAAAGTATAAATAAACATTTTTAGTTATAATAAAAAGTAACTAGATAAAATTGTAGAGTAAAACCTCAAGATATCGAAGTAATGAAAAATAAAATGAGAGGAAATTTTGTAACTACGGAAAAATGGAAATCTAATGGAACAAAGTTCAGGAAGCATAGTGGCTGTTGAGAGCTATGCCACTCACAGCTCCTCTTATTTTAAAATTGTCCTAAGCAGCAACAGGCAAATAATGACAATATAGATTTACTGTAATAATCTCACTAAGTCTTCATAAGTGCACTAGTACATGTTATGCTGACACCAGTGCAGTAGGCCTATTCGTTAACTGCTTTTGACAGATGGAAATGGTTATCACCAAGTTATTAAATGATCCGCTACTGCTTTCTTACTACACCACTTAGATACTTATTCTGCAAAGCATCAATGGATATGCAATTTTCTCTTTAGTTACACTGTAAATGTCAAAAGTTAGCAAATAGGCCAGCAGGACTGATCCACTCCAGTTGGTTTTAAAACATTGAAATCAATTTATACTATATTCAGAGTTATTTCTCAAAACAAATAATTTTCCACTGTGTCTTTCATGTAGAGAATTGCAGGCATCTTTAAGCTATGATAGCTCACCATCAAGAAGGTCAAATGTTTACTTATTTTCTTTTTACTTAAAAAATTATAAATATGGATATTGGAATCACAGTGAAAAGTTGGCTAATTGCCTATTTTTTATATGTAAGGTCCTAATATTGCTCGCAACATCATAAGTGTAGTTAGGAATTTAAAATTTCTTTAAGAAAGTTGTAATTTTTTAAAGAAATTTCACTTGTTTCTTGATATTATTTTTCTTGGCTGTTACATAATTTAATTTATTTGGCATATAATTTTAATCTCTGATGTACTTACTATTTTTAACTGAAAAGAAACCTGTAATTGACCATACTTAAAGTACTGTCTGTTATTAATTATGTATAAGCTGTTGGTTTTCTTAATAAAATAAAATAATAAATAATACATTTCCTTCGCTCGCTCCAAATTGATGACTACTAATGGAACTTACTTGCCAAAATTAAATAGGTAGGTATATTGAAAAATACTAATGACACATACCTTCTAACTGCACCATCTTGCCAGCCCGTTTTAGAGCTTTTACAGCTTCTTCATGTGTTGCATCTTTTAGATCTTCTCCATTGACAGACAATATTGCATCACCAACATACAGCTGTTCTGTAAGGTCTGCTGCCATTCCTTTAAATATTTTGGATATCAATATCGGCATATTATTTTCTATTCCTCCCTTAATAGAAATACCCAAGCCATTATTATCAGACTTCACTACTTGCACTAATCGTTTTTGATTAGCAATTGCTTCTGGCACTTCTGTAAAATCACTATTTGGAGTCTCTACATTGTTATTATTTATGGATCCGTTAAGTGTTGTTGTTGCATCATATCCATCATCCAGGCAAACACTAAAGTAGTCATCCTCCAAGGAGCAATGCACTTTATACCAAACACCACGCACTAAAGTTTCCAACAATCCAGAACGAACACAAGTTGCATTAGGGCTATCGCTTCCCCCACTTGATGCACCGTTTTCCACCATAGTTTTAATAAAATATTTATAAACACTATAAATTTAAGTAACTATTGAAGTCAACTATAATCTCAAGCAAATGTCCTTGCATTTATAGCTTTCTAGTTATAAATAAGTTTTTCCCAATCATAGAAATCACATGAATTTATCTTAGAGTACTCATCTATAAAAAAATGTACGTAAAATGATTTTAGAAATGATTTTTCTAAGCAAATTATTACAAGAATTCATTGTACATGTACAATCAATAAATAAATTTGACATATTTATTTTATTGTATTCTTCCCTATTGGCAAGGGCAAAGGCAAAACCATACAGCCATGGTCTTAATTTTATTATTACAATCGCGACACATTATGAATGATGGCCGTTTTAACACATTACAATAAAGACGAGGAATAAAACTCAATTTTGTATCTAAAAAAAATCTAATATAATAAATTCAGGTCTCATCTCACCCAAAATATTTTAAATACTACGTAGTACTCAACCATGAACCGTTGTAAATGTATGAAACCGACAAACACAACACGGCAGATAAATATATTTTCGCCTATAGTTCTTGTTCTGAGGTGTACGTTCATGGGTTATACTCTGTCCAATACACCCACAAGACCACTTTTACTTTACAGAATAGTTTGTGCACAAGACACAGACTATTAGATACACAAGACAATAGTCTATCCTTGTCATGCTTTATAAGGAATGAAAAGGACAGATTGATGTCAAAACAAACGGGGAAGTGAAGTTCCGGCATTATAACCATACATGCAGTTTGTCTATAAAGTCGTAACATGAATGTTTGAGGAACTAACATTATTCATGTGTCTGGCAACACCAAACTTATGTACATCAGCTGTCATCGAGTTTCAGTTGTGGAACAGTTTTCCTTTTGTATTTTTTATTGTTTGGATTAAACTGTAATAAATTAAGACGAAACTACGCAGAAAGGTATAAAATTGAGTAAAGTAAATCGGAGTGGCACGCGGGAAGTGATTTTTAAAGTTTTCCAGCGATGTTTCGAAGACTACCAAGCTGGACGAATTTTGTGAGATTTGGATGATGTTTATGGGCAAACAGCATCTATGACGGGTATGTAATCGTGTAACTATTTGTTTGTAATCTGCCTGAAGTTACAAATTTACTCAATTTACGATTTTGAGACCAAAAAAGGCAATGTTTACATTGCACATTTTTAGGTTAGATTGACATTGGTGCCAATTCTGACGTGATTCTCTAAACTTAAAACTAAATTTAACATCAGTCTCTCCTTTTCATTCTGTATAGAGAATAACAAGGATATACTGCTGTCAAATTTAAGTTTAGGTTTAGAGAATCATGCTAGAATCGACACCATTGTAAATCGGTAATTTTGTAGTACGACCATTTCTTTTGATACGTTAATTATGGTTCAACTCGGTCAGGTTTTCTACCAATTTTGAATTCATTGCTTCATGTCAATAAGTTATAGTTTCTATTCCGTTACATATCAGTGAGTCGGATAGTCAACGAAGGTTTTAAGAATGATGGAAAATTTGAAACACCTGCGAAAACAGGCAAGGTCGACCAAAGAAAGAAATGGTCACATAAAGAACCATGGCCAGATGCTATTAGTGAAGATACCTATCACTAATTTTAATAACTGCACATTTACAAATTGTTTCTCTAAATAAACTTTTTATATACTATAAAATGATTTTTAGTGTTATTTTCTTAACAAGTGTGTTAAAAAACGTCGTATGATGAATCTTGTGTGTATTGATGATTACCTAACGGCTCGGTCTCAATGGCACCTCAGCGGTAATCACCAACATTCCAGACTTTTACACTATAAAGTACTATTTTATCTATAATAATTTTATTCTGATTCAATTAAAAATGCTTGGCTAAACTTTTTATACGCATATAGTCCAGGCAACGAATGCTCAAAAACAGGTATAGAGGGAAATGCTTGGAACACAATTTTTGACTTCGTAACTTTGTTAGGACTAGTTAAGAGGTAAACATATCAAAAGTCCCCGCCCGTAGCCCTTAAGCCGGGGGGGGGGGGGGGGGGCTTGAAGGTCCCATTTTTAGGGTTTTCGCATATATCTCGAAAACTATGCATCCTAGCGACATGAGACTTTCTTATTTAGGTAACGGCCAACACTGCCAGTTTTCTTACCGGGCGACGCAGGCACCCCCTTTAGTCAATACGTCTACTACCCCCTTTTTTTTATACGCAGGCAAAAAATACTATTTACAGACGACGGCGCCTTTAAGAGGCACACCGCCGAACGGACCTCACACCTGGCTCCCGCAAGCCTTACGAGCCCCAGCAGTGGCTGCCCACTGAGGACCCCGTAACCCTTACGGGCGCTTTACGGCATAATATCCGCTAAAAAACCCTGCGAACACCCTCTAAGCTGCTTAGTGCGAAGCCGCAGAATCCCCGTTTAGGGATTCTTCCGCGTCTCCGCACCTAGCATTCTCCCGGCCTTGCCGAGGTTCCGCGGCAGGGGTCTCCCGGGGTATCGCGAGGACCCCACAGACGTGCGCAGGATGGCCCGCGCGTGGGGGCTGAGTACGCGGCCTAGTGCCCACCGTACCGCCCCCATACGTCTACAACCCTAACAATTTTGTCCTTAAATAAAAAAAAGGGCAATTGTTTCTATTATTGAAGATAATTTAATGCTCTACAACCCTACGGCCGGCATTTATTTTTTGGGTGCATTGTTGAAGAGTTATCCGGTCAAATAGAGCAAAAATGGGAACAATTTTTTTTCCATAATTACAGACTTTCAAGAGCGGTTATCTCGAAAACTATACAAGATATCAAAAAATTTGACTGAATAAGACTTGTAGCAAATTTAATCAGCTTTCACTTTTGTGAAAGTCTCATGTCGCTAGGATGCATAGTTTTCGAGATATATGCGAAAAACCTAAAAATGGGACCTTCAAGCCCCCCCCCCTCCCCCTGGCTTAAGGGCTACGGGCGGGGACTTTTGATATGTTTACCTCCTAACTAGTCCTAACAAAGTCACGAAGTCAAAAATTGTGTTCTAAGCATTTCCCTCTATACCTTTTCGTTGCCTGGACTAATAGGTACCTACTATATATAAAACAGAAACAAAATACGACTGTATAGTGTGTCTTATTAATTACCTATTTTACTTGAATGAACTGCTAGTATCAAAATCATTTTGGTCCGACTGTATAGGGTTGCTACATGCATACTAGTGGCGCCATCATTTAATGTCACGACTTTATAGACAAACTTGTACAAATGTCTAATTCACTTTTGCTGAAGGCCCTGCTGCCAAAGTTCAATAAATTAAAAAAAACATACAAGAGTTTTTTGGCGGGATTTCATCGAGTACGGTTGGCGTCTTAATTTAATTATTCTTAAATTCGTTCATAGTGGATATTGTGAAATAAAATTGGTGTGATTTTGTGTTACAACTGTCTGCTGCGTAACTGAAGAATTAGTAGAATCGTCAATGAAGAATGCGTCACTCCGACATTCTAATGTAAAAACGAAAACAGAATAATTTAAGACTAGGCTGTATAGGCATTGTTTCCCTTGCCTTCCCTGAAAAGGGAGAACGTAACCAAAAAAAAAATGTCATGTGTCACCTGACATTAATTTGTAACATGCAGTCAGTTGTAATCCAGTCAAGAAAATAGAGAAATTGCAGCAGTGTTTCTTTCCTGGATTTCACATTTTTCAGCATGTCGTCCGATATGTCTGCAATTGAACTCCTTAAACTAGGAGACGCAGGAAGAACTAAACCTTTCCTAAATGTATATTGGCCACATATAATTGGTACTTTTTTCGGCGTAGCCACAGGAGTTGCCATCAACTTTGGCACGAGACGTCCTTTACTGAGCGGTATTGTTACATAATTTACAAATTACTAAATTATCAATGGAAATTGAGTTTGAAAGAGTCTGACTCATTGTTTTATTTTGGTAGGTATACAGAAACATGTACTTGGAATAGCTGGCTGGGTAGGAGCTTTATCTTATGTCCAAAAAAAACGTGACGACTATTTTGCTGAAAAAAACGCAGTTTTTCTACATTATGTTGAGTTACATCCTGAAGATTTTCCAGTTCCAGGTAAATATTCCCTGCATATTTGCATATCCATTAGTACTAAGATCATATTTTAGTAGCATGTTTATAGTAAAAATATTAATTTATTTAAAATAAACAAGATATAAAATAAAATAAATAAAAATAGCTTTTATTCTCTATTGTACATGTTAAAAGTGACTTAACTTAAAATTAAAACTTAGTTTAATCGCTGACATCGGTACGTGTACAAACAGGTTGTCCTTGGACATAGGCCTCCTCCAAATGGGCCCATTGGCTCCTATCTGTGGCTGCTCGTTGCCAACTCTTGGGTAGATCGTCTTCCCATCTTTTATGTTGTCTACCTCTACTACGTTTATCATCTCGGGGGTACCACTCAAAAATATCCTTTGTCCACTTGTTCCTCTTCGACCTCATGATATGTCCAGTCCATCTCCACTTCAGTGTTTTGACTTTTCTGGTTACATCTACCACTGTCGTCTTTTTTCTTATGGCAGAGAGACAAACTTTGTCTTTTAGTTTGACACCTACCATACTTCTTTCGATTCCTTGTTGGCATACTTTTAATCATTGTGTTGTATGTTTTGAGTAGGACCATGTTTGACATCCATAGGTGAGTACTGGAAGTATGCAAGTGTCAAACACTTTCTTTTTGTGTAGGCTAGGCATATCATTGTTTTTCATTATTTGTTTCAGGGACCAGTATCGTGACCATGTGTTATTAGTTCTACATTGTAATTCTTTTTGCATTTGTAGTTCTGTTGCTATCACTTGTCCCAAATATATATACTCATCAACGTATTCAATTAGTTCATTTTTTATGCGAATATTTATTTTGGAACCATTGGTCATACCCTTGGTCTTTGTCAGGTTCATGGTTAACCCTGCTTTCTCACTTTCCTCCGCAAGTTTTATCAGCATGTGTTGAAGCACTGCTGGACATTCCGCAAACAATACAAGATCATCAGCAAACTGTAGATGGTGTAATTTGGTACCATTGATGTTTATTCCTAGTTCTGCCCAATCTAGGTTTCTGAATATTTCCTCTAAAACTGCAGAAAACAGTGTAGGAGACATAGGGTCCCCCTATCTTACTCCCTTCTCTATTCTAAACTCTTCTCCAATTTTCTCCAACTGAACTTTTGACGTACTTCTTCCATATCGATACTTGTAATTTCAATTGACGTAAAGCACAAAACCTGACTTTTCAGGAGAGCCAAAATAAGATTTATTTCAATTACTTAAATTCATTACGCTTTTGTTTTTACAGTTATAAAAAAGTGATGTAGACAAAATATTCCTAAAATCTTGTGATGCAGAGGATGAAATATTTAGTTTTATGTTTAGTTTATTATTTTAGAAAATAGATGTGCTTTACATCTAGGCAAAATCATTAAAATGTTCTTTATGTCCATTTTTATTATGATGTTTAGATGCGTTTTGGGCGAAAAGCTCAATTGAAAAAAACAATATTCTCTACGCCCCAAAAATAAATGTTTAAGAGTATTTATATTGTCAAGAGTATTTATACACAGGTGTAAAGCTAATAGAAAAAGTTAGATAATCTTATATTTTGAATTAAAGAACTAATTTTATTTTTTCATTAGGCGGTGAAGCATACATAGCCTTCAAGTCATTTTAAATAGCATGTGTTGCCTAGGGCTTACAATAGATAACTAACAAGCAAAAGAATAGTCTAAAGAATAAATTGTATTTTTTTTATTTAGAACATCTTAAACATATTAGAATAGGCAATCATCAGCGTAGTACTAGGTTACTTTGGTCATATGGCCCGGAGAAAGCCCGACAACTAAGACAGTATAGTTGTTATGGGATAAGTAAATGGTAAAAGACGAAAAGGCCGTTCACCTGTCCGTTGGTTAGACCAAATAAAAGACATTACAGGATTCAGTCTACCGACTGCCCTAAGACGAGCCGAAGATAGAGTGGATTGGAGAGACCTCGTCACCGTCTCAGTAAAGGCAATTCAGGAAATTGATTTCCTTCAGGAATGAAGCCTTCAATGAAGAAGAAGTCAATATTTAGCAAAATAATAAGGTTTAATAAGTTCAAATACCTAAATTGGTTAATTGATTCAGCTGAGGAGCCGTCAATATGTTCTAGGCAACCAACAGAATTTATCTAAATGATGTATATTTTAGCTTACGCGTCTGTCGTCGGTATATTTAGTCGTCGTCTAAATATACCGCTTTCAGTAAAAAAAATGTTAAAACATTACTGTAAGTCTAAGATCCCAAGAGAAGTCGTCCTTCATCCATATTCTGCCTACCAGACGAAAAGAACGTTTGTCAAGTAGTTTTTTAAAGAAAACAAATCGCAATTTCATTCCCTATTGATATTGTTCAAGACGTTAAAAAAAATGAGTAAAAACATTTATTTAAACAATTAAATGGGTTTAAAAGGTGAAATTCATTAAATATTCTAAAACTATAGACGTAAAGCCTCCTACGCCAATTTTCTAACAAAACATGTTACCAAATCAAGTTTTATCCAATTGCCGTTAGCAAAACTGTTAGGCCACCCCACTAAACGGTTAGCAAACAATGTTATAGTGTTAGCAAACACGAAAACACGGCGCAGGAGACTCAGCTTAAAGCTTTATTTTTAGCTTTTTGATACAATGAAGGTCCTTTGGGGGGGTCAGTATACCAGCTTGCACCCAGCACTGCATACTTTTGTTTGATGCTGCTGTACCGACATTCATAGTTTGTTTTGTTTGTCAAATTATTAATTGAAATAGAGTCCAAATTATATTTGTTGTGATTTTATTAATAGGTTAAAGAACAAAATCAATGTTGATACCTGAGGAACATACAATAATATTATTCGTCTCGGGGGTATATGTTAGTAAGGTGGCGACTGTATTGACATTAACACTTAATCAGGTAATACACAATAGCTACTTTAAAAGATATTTATTCGCTCAAAATTAAGGAAAGTAAATACACATTATTTAAAAAAAGTGTGCTTTACGCCCTTTTATGTTTACAGAGTGATCAAAAACTTGACTTAAATCACATTTAGCTATTTAAATAGTAAATGGTTGGGCTGTTAAAAACAAAATGAAATTATGACGTTCCTTACGTTACATATTCAATGTGTCTAAAATCGTTATTAATGGCCGCATTGCCATGAGAATTATACAGAAAAAAAGAGAAAAAAAAATTAAATAAGATGGCATTCATAACTCATTTTGGCCAAAATGTGCTTTACGTCAATTGAGATTACAGGTATCGATATATTTGCGAAATTATTCTTATGTATTTATGGTTAACCCCCTGTTTGTGGAGTGCTCTATACAGAAAATTGTGGTCTAACGAGTCGAATGCCTTGCTATAATCTACGAAAGCCAAGTAGTATGATTTTCTGTATTCATTGTATTTTTCAATTACTTGTTTCACTATGTGTATATGGTCGATAGTGGAAAAGTCTCTCCGGAAACCAGCTTGCTCTCTGGGTTGCTGTTCATCCAGACATTTTGTTAGTCTTCTGAGTAAGATTTTAGCAAAGATTTTATACATATTCGACATTAGACTAATAGGTCTAGTTGTCTATATGGTTTTTGTCTCCCTTTTTATGGATGAGAATTATCGTTGATTTAGTCCATTGTTTAGGAATCTCCTCTTTATGTAGGATCTCATTAAATAGGCAGGTTAGACTTGGTCCTATGATGTCTACAGTCTCCTTTATGAGCTCGTTGGTAATCTTGTCATCTCCTGGAGCTTTATTAGATTTTTGTAACATTACAGCTTTTCTGACTTCACTTGGTAGGATGTCTGGTATTGCTTCATCTTCTCTTGAGATATCTTCCAAAGCTGAATTGTCCTTACCTTTACTTTTACAATAGAGGTTTTTGTAATAATTTGTTGCAACAGTGCCTATTTCTGATCTATTGCCAGTAATTGTGTATTTTCCTTGGTCGTCTTTAGTTCTCACATTTGGCAACCAGGTCTTATGGTCTTTAAGTTGTTTCCATGCCTTCTGTACACCTCCGGTTTTCTCTATTTCAGTTTTTATTATGTTTAATTTGTTTTCTTTGTTGTGTTTTCTAATACTCTCTGTGATTTCCTTGCTGATGGTTTCTATTCTCTTTGTATTATTTCTTCTGTCGTGAAAAAGGGTTCTTCTTATTTCTATAAGTCTTCGGGCATTTTCGCCAATTCTATTTTTCCTTGTTTTATTCTTTGTCATTCCTTTACAGATATTTAATATAAAGTTCTCCATTTCATCGTATTTTTGCTCAGTTGCTTTTTCCGACTGCTTATCGGGTATCATCTTTTCCAGTTCCGATTTGACCTCATCAGCCAAACGAGGCACTATTCGGTGTATGTCACAATTAAAGTATTTCCTTGATTTTCTAGTGTTCTGTGTTATTATAGTTCCTCTTACCATTCTATGGTTTGTGTTGATATTTAGTCTATTAATGATTTCTACATTGATAAATTGGTAAGGCATGTTGGTTAGAATAAAATCAATGGCATTCTTATGTTTTCCATCAGGAGAGATCCAGGTCCATTGTCTTGCTTTTTTTTCTTGAACATACTATTCATTATTTTGAGGTTATATTCCATTGCATATTCTGCGACCATTTCTGTTTCTTTTGCCCGTATTATATTGACCAATTATATGTTCTTCCCCTTCCTGTGCTGCTCCAACTTGGCTGTTGAAGTCTCCTATCAAATTTTTTTGTTTGTTTGTTACCTCCATCGTTTGGTGTAATGCGTCGTAAAATTGGTCTTTTTCTTCTTCTGCATTTTGTTCAGTTGGTGCATATACTTGGATAATCGAAACAGCTTTTTCTAGACCGGGTAGTTTTATGTTGAGGTCTGCAATCATATCAGACTTACTTTGGATTTGTTCTATATATTCTTTATGTTGTTTTTTAACTAAAAATCCGACTCCATACATTCCCTGCTTTTCGCCATTAAAATAAAATATATAGTCGTCGTACTCCCTTAACTCTTCTCCCATTCGCCTTACTTCGCTGATTCCGACTATATCCCAATTCACTACTTCCAAGGCCTTTTGTAATTCTGCTAGGTGTTCTTCGGTTCTAAGTGTCCTCGTATTAACAGTGGATATGTAGAATTTATTTCTATTTCCTTTATTGCCTTTCAATGGTGTTTTAGGCTTTTTATGTGTTGGCTCAGGCTGGTGGTGTCTTCCTTTTGGGACCTTTGTATTGTGAAAGTTGTTGTTTTTGTTTATTATTATTTGGAGGGTAGTGATCTCTTGTCCTACAGGGACCAGCCGGATGGGGACGTTTAGTGTGTTTTGCATTTTTATTCGTTTTAGGTATCTGGTTGATGAAGTTCCGCTTGCCGATGTCCGCTAATTGTTAATTGGCGTTTGGTTCGCTATGGGAGCTTGATCTAGCTCTCATTTGTTTGAATGTTTTTATTTTATTCATCTTCGCAGGTGCTTTTTGGTAAGAATTCTCAGTTAATGGTGACTTTGATGGTGATCTCTTTCTTTTTTCCTTGTTGTTGTCTCCCTTATTTAGAAGTATCAATTTATCGTATCGTATAAAAGCGGAATGAACTTTTTCTTCTTCCTCGCGGAGCTTAAGTTGTAGCTCCTTTCTCTTCTCAAGGACGTCTTTTGGGAAATCTTCCGTGGCGTATATTCCTTCTGGTAAGATTTTTTTTGTTTTTAAGTAACTCTACTTTTCTCCAAGTCAAAGTAAAATTGACGAGTATTGGCCTCACACGGTTCTCTTCCTTCTTCCCAATACGGGTCACTCTACCTAATTCCCATTGGTCCCATGCATCAGTTTTTACCTTCTCACTGATGTTATTAAGAATATTCAGTACAATTTCCATTAATTCTTTGAAAGAGGTCTCATTTTCAGGAACACCATGTAGTATTATGTTGTTTTTATGTGATTCTTTTTCCAAATTTGTTAATTTTTCATTAAGTTTTATCACTTCCTTTTTCAGCAATTCATTTTCTTCTAAGATTGGCTTTATTTTTTCCTCTAAGGCCTCCGACATTTTTAAGGTAATATTTAGTGTCAGGGCGATAGTTTGTTGTTCCAATTTTTCTTCCAACCTTTTCCACATAATTTCAAACTGTTGCTCCATTGCTATGTGTTTTCTACTAAATTGGTAGTTTCTTTTTTTCGCCTGGTATGTTTGTTCGGTTTCTGAACGTTTTTAATTGTCTGTGGTTTGTTTTTTTTTTATAGTTGGTAGCTCTGATAACAATAACAGTGTCAGGTTCTACGATAGGTTATAGGTGTAGTTATATAGATGGAATTTCGTACCTTTACTGACGATTTCTGTGCTTTCCAATATGTTTTCGCACAAAACTGTATTTGATTTGTATGTCGGCAGTCTTGATCTTCGTAATAATACCACTTTCAGTGCGCGGATGTTAATATTTACTACAAAAATTGTTTTAATCGGACGACGTATTAAACGGTAAAGTTCACTTGGCAGCTGTCAAACTTCAACTTTCAAAACAAGATATAGTATTCTAAAAATAAGCAATCCATTAAAATTTACTTAAATTGTGATGTTATGTTATTGTAAAGCTGACAATCCTGGAACATGGGAATCGCCTTCTAGTAAATGGCCCTGGGCTCAAAATGGCATGTGCTGACTAGCATGAAAAACGAGCTTGTTTTATGCATCTGGTTTTTTTAATTCACATTTAATTATCTTGTTACAGAAAGAAGAAAGATTGGAGATATTTTGGAACCCTGGATCCCTATTCGCTAATGGAATTAATAGACACTTATCGGAATGTAGTATAAAGGACCTAGCTGAAATAAGACATTTCCTACACTGATATTCGTTTTCATTTATTTAAATGGAAATCATTGACATTAACTTCACTGTCAATATATTCCATTTATTTCATAAAAAGAAACTAAAGGCAAAGAAGGTAAAAGGATAGCCCAATAATATTGTGCCATTTTACAATTCATACTGTTGATGCCTCTTCAGGAAGGGCCTGGCCACATGACCACAGCATGGCAGAAGAGTGGTATGTTGCCATGTCATGCAGATTTACTGTGCTGTACTGTGTTGCACGGTGCTTAACTTAATGAGTTTCTATGTTATGTGCAAGGACTACAACCTAAATTTTATGTTTAGTTGTTTTTTATTAATAAATCTGTGTTACTTAGTTAATTTTGGATGTAAAAATGTTGGCAAACCAATGAAATAATATAAAATTACTTTTGTAAATGTATTCCCATTGGGATAAACAATCTTTTTATTTCATAAAATTTAGATAAATGAGCATGTAAGTGATTTAAATTCTAGTTAGTCATTTCTTTAAAATATTTGATTAATCTATGGCAGCTTCGAGTTGTTGACTCTCGACTGCCCAATCAGTCCATGTATGATGATGCTTAATTGATTAATAAATGAAATCTACATTTTATTCCATTGTGTGGAAGTCAGTCTACTATTTTCAAACGATTGAGTTGTAAGAAATGCACAACTAGTAGTAAAGTACTACTAAGGGGCTGTTCAAGTATAACGTAAGCACTATAGGGGGCAGGGGGGTCTTTGCTTTGCTTATTTTTGATTACATGGGGGGGGGGGGGGTAGAGATGGTGATTACGTCAGCATCATCGATTAAGCCTTTTTAAGTACTGCTGCTCATGAAGCTCATGAAAGCTCATGAATCAATAAAAAAAACAGAATACATTGAAGGAAAAATGCATATAGGTACCAATGTTTACGTAAGGATGGGGGGGAGGGGTAAGAGCTTTGCTTACTTTTGCTGACGAGGGGGAGGAGGGGGTATATAATTGTAATAAATCTGCTTACGTAATACTTGAACGGCCCCTAAATAATAGGTTTCAAAAATTGTGTCAGAGGAATATCAGTAAGTCTAGTTGCCGCCTTGTTACTACAAGACAACTAGTCTTTTTTTATGTATAGGCCCAAGGAATTACTCCACCTCACCTGATGTTGAGTGATAGTGAAGTCCATATGCTAAGATCGCTGGTACAACCACCAAACCAGCCATCTTCACCCTGCCGGCTTGCATGTTGCTTCTTCACGCCCTGTGACAACATAGGTCAGCGCGTGTGGCCCTCTGAAGGAAAGGGGTAGGTGGAATAAGGAAGAATAACTCCTCAGAACCCTCGCCGTGGTACAGACGATAGAACACGCCACGAATGTTAATGACGCCACGTCACGGCGTAATTGAAGAGGCTCGAGGTGTTTACTGTTTAGTCACCTCCGCATCGCCAATGATGCGGATCGGGCGCCGCTGTAACGTTGCAGAGCAATAAGCAAGTACTTGGTCCAAGAGATGCGAGAAATATTTCACGCAAGACCGCACCTGCGTCTTATTTCTCAGGCGTGAAAAACGCCGCACCTTGTTCATGACTTGAGTTTGCGTGAGACCGTTTTTATTACGTTTTCGATGTAATTCTTTGGATTCAAGTCACAGCTAATTTCCATATCGAGCATGGTGATATAATAATAATTTTATTTGGAACAAGTGCAATACATAAAATTATGAAACGTTAAATCTGCTATAGTTTTACAAAAACTGTGTTGCAGAAGTATATTGCTGTCTAGCTCGTGTTGTGCCCTGAAGAGAAGGAGGATGAAAGGAATAGTGACGTCTCTGCCTTGAAAGCGCCGCCCTGGGTTTTTAACTCGACCAAGTTCTTGGTACCCCATTCGTAAATGTGGTCCAAAGCCTAATTGAATGATAAGAATTCCCGTTTCTCCTTGGCTTCCGCTTGTCCAGCCGTTACCAACGGAACTGAGCTGGCAGATTGTATTCCGGAAACTTTACGAGAAGACTTTTGTGCCAGACGCTGTCGCGTCAAGTACGCTAGAAGATCACCTATATTGGTAGTTCTCGGCCAAGACTTCGGCCTCGAGCTCCCATGGTGGAGTGGAGACCCCGCCAGTAAAGGAAGTAATCCCTAGTCCCTTCAAGCGGCAAACGGCCGACTGTCGGCAATTTTTATTACCCCGTCAAGCGGCAAGGGGCCGACTGTCGGCAATTTACTCATGCGGCACGCGACCGACATTCGGCCTTTCATCGTTTTTCTATCCTACCTTCATTCATATATCAATTTTTAGAGGAAAAAACGGGCTAGCTATCTAGCCATTGATTAAAACAACTGCCATATGAAATATTTATACTGTTATCTGTCAAAGTTCGTCGTTCGCCGTTTTTTGTATGAAAAAAAATATGCCGTGTATTCAGACTATTTTAAGTGCTTTTGAGTGGTTTTAAAGAAAAAAACACCATGCCTGGTTAAGTTCAAATACATTTAGTTACTCTATTTTGATGTTTCGTTTGCGGGTCTCCGTGAATTTTTTTTATTAGAATTTTTTTGCAGAGGCGTTCGCAAAAAGTATCAGCGAAAACTTAGGGGTAATGTTTTAATTTTTAATTATTGAATAAATTATTCATGATTAATACTTCGAATACAAAGAATCTCTCGAGTTCGTATTTTTGGAGAAATAAAAAAAAAACAAAATCCGCGCGGTGGAACGGTCGTTCGAAATTCAAATACACGAACGAAATATCTCTTATCTATTAGACAAGTCCGTCCGTCCGTCCGTCTGTCTGTGGTGCTGTTTCAGTGGCCAAACCGTAAGAGATAGATAAAGAGAATATTTAAGTTATAAGTTAAGAATAGTCTGATAAGACTACAAACCGGATTTGAGTAACGTAGCACTTCCGGTTTTCGAGAAATCACAAATTTCAAACGAAACCACACAAAATCTCCGAAGTTCTCAATTAATTAAATACATTTTTTTTTAAATCCGGTTTTGGTGAACATTTGGTTCACTGGTTTGCTAGTTTTTTTATATTATTTTCCTGTATGTGAACTAGTGACTAGTTTTTGTTTATTCTAAAGCAAATTTCGCATACATTTTGATAAAAAAAAACTGTTTATCTAAACTGTAAATACTTTTCGTTTTATAGACATAAAACTAAGATGACTGATTTGTAAGCGATTTTTAAATGCCTCGTTGTAAGTTCTTAAACCTAAAAAATGGACAAACGTTATTCATAACAATCTTGGTTGTAATGTTATCTTAACACTCGGAGCTAATAGCACCGGGATCACGGGTAAACACTCGCAGTCACCCGCCCATTCAGACCCAGACAAAACATTTTATAAGACAGATTTTGACCACCTTTTTATGCGATGCTAAGAATGACAGCAGGGTTCAAAGTCCCAAGCAAGAGTTTTTAACAGCTCCGTAAGTAACATAATCATCATATAATGTATTAATAAAGCTAGTTTGCTCTTACGTCCGATAGGGGGACGCTGCTTAGTTTTCATAGAAACTAGAGATGAACTGTATAGGAGATTAAGTTACTTTACGGAGCTATCAAAACTGATGCTTAGGCCTTAGACCACATTTCTAGGGAGCCAAGGTCTTCAATGAATATCTAATGGTAAGAACACTCAGGTCTTCGCTTTCACAATAAGAAAGTCACCATTCCTTCCTCTTCCCTCGTCAGGGCACAACACTGGCTGGCAATACGAAACAGCTACACTAGCACTAATTTTTGTGACCGTCTGGTACCGTCCGTTTAAAAAGTTGTAATCACTTGAAATCGTGTCCAAGAATTGCTTAATATTTAAAGAAAAATCAAAACCTTGAAAGTGACTGACGTCAGGATGGCTTGTTCCTTTACCCATCCGTAAAATACGTACCGAATGACATTACAAGAAATTCCATACGTCGAAAATTGCTTTCCATTTGCTTGCTTAAAATCCTATAAACCTTTATTCTGTAGCTATAAAGGAAATAAAGATATTGGGCCACTTAGTTTAGCGTTGGAATGGTAAAAATCCTGATTACATGAATTTTATGGTCACCCAATGACACACCACACACCCATAAAAAAATTCACTTCAGCGAGTCTGTTTAATTTCCAGACTCAGCATAATTGGAATACTTGAGTGAATGGAAATGGTAAGACTAAGTATAGGAAAAAATATATAAAAAAACTGAAATCCAAAACAATAAATCATGTCCCTCCACTTATATCTATTGCAAAGATCCACTGATGGACTCTTATGTCCACCTTTATTTTCGATCCAGGATTTTTTCAAAGTTAATGTTTTAGAATTAACGTGTGTCTGAAAATCTATTATAGGATGGGAGACTAAAAGTACATACTAGAAAAAATATCTGGAAACCGTGGTGCATCTCCACCGAGATAGGCTTGACAATAAGTGTGGATTACTGATTAGTGTGCGAGGTCTATTACAAAATGTATAGAGAACGCGTCCTCCGACGAATGAGCCTCTAACTAATCAGACTTTTTTTGCGAATGATGAACGACCGACAAAAACTTTCCTTGGCCTAAAACTACTTATTGGCGCCGATTTATATTCTTCGAAAAGTTTAATTAATTTTGTTGATCCTTTCTGCAGTCCATAACTATTTACCTCTTCTTTCTTTTTCTCCCAATAATTTTTGCATCTCCACCGGTTCAAAGTCGTCTTTACACATTTCTTCTGTTCTGAATGTGCTTCACTGCATTCACTACTGGTTTTAGATCATATACCAATATATGCTCTAACATGCTGGTAGGTATTAGGTACAACTTCTTCTTCACTCATTGTAAGGACACTTAGGCCCGTATTACAGAATGACAACTAAGTGTTGATCTTTACTTGAGTACAGTTAGAAAGGGATATCTCTATGTGCTATATATAGCGACATCCCTTTCTAACTATGCTCAAGACTAGATCAATCACTGAGAATCTTTCTATAATACGGGCCTTAGAATACTATAATAAATACAGAAAAAATTTACTTGATTCAGTTTAGTATTTTGACATATTATTACTAAACATTTTCAGTAGGAAGATGTAATAAACAAGAATATTCGTCATTTACCGTGATTTGATGGTCCTATGCACTTCGTGAAATCTCTGGTTTCTTCATTTCCTGCGACATAATTATCTACATTCACGTTGCGATCGACGTGGTCATGTAACGTTTTCCAATATGGCGGCTAGTGTGACCACCTTACATTCCCCGATTTTTAAACATAAGCTTCTTATGACCTACCCTAACATCTGTAAAAAAACTAGAGTGGGGTAAAATTTAAGTATAACCGCGATCTCTGTTATTAGAGCGGTTTACGTAATAAATATTTAATAAGGTAGGTAATAAATTATTACTACTCATAATAAGGACTCTGTTTATTTAAAAAAGCCGATTCCCCTAATTTTAAAGTGCACTGAAACTTTTCATGCTCATAATATTTGGACTATCATATCCCTTATGGTCATGCAGATAATGTTGTGCCAGGGAATTGAGGTATTCAAAATTTTCGCCACATATAGCACAGTTGTGATTTTCACCAACATACATGTCTTTTAATTCCTTTGTTCCTCCATATGAAGCCACATTTTGATGGGATAATATATTTTGTGGTTGTTTGTCATTGATGAGATGCTGTATATTATGATGATTCAAGTCTTTGGTAGAATTAATTGGTATTTGTGGTATATCACTGCCCACGTCTATGCCGATAATATCTATGTTTGTACTATTATTATAATTATCATGTTGATTCTTAGTGACTTGAGCACATATTTGATGCTTCTTCATCTTATGTAATTTCTGAAATGCAACATTTAGTTTTTTTGTATGGTCATACATAAACAATAGGAAGGTACTATAAACGGCATTTCATACATCATGATTAATTAATTTCAAATTTACTTACAAAATCTCTTAAATGTATGTAGGCAGCCCCACATAAATCACATTTAAAGTTCTTCACACCTCTATGTTTATTCATATGCCGAGTTAGTTCACTTGAGGTTATAAACGATTTTGAACACAAGGAACATGCCTGAAAAGTAAGTACTTTTTAATCAGTTACTTATTCATTTTTTAATACTGTGATGTTTTAGAGTCATCATCATCACCATTGTAGTAATATAAGTTATTTGCGGGAATGTTACCATGTACCTTGTTTTTATTGAGTTTCCAACTTGGTACATGGTAACAATCCCGTAAATAACTTATATTACTATAATGTTAGTGACCATGAAAATTTAAAACAATATATCATCATCAGGAGCATCATTTATGATACCAAAACCAACCAGATACAGATAGTATAGCCAAAGGAGATATTATAACAAATACATATATATGTACTATAATGCGAACTTTTGGTCACGTTCTTCTTGTGCATTAATGCATATCAGGTGTGAGCCAAGGTGCTGGATGGTATTTAAGCTTAATCGGACGAAATGGTGCGTGCTTATCAAAAAGTTTGGTTATACACTTCTGGACACATCTATTGGCCCACCTTAGAGTTTAGGTTTCGATGGCCCCTACCGAAATATGATTGCTAGATTGAACAAAAACTGTTGATGCAGTTTTAAACCTGATACATTTTACCATCTTTTTCGATCATATTGTTTTAAATTTGAATTCAGAATACCATACGACATGGAGCTACGCCTAACAAGTCGGATATGCGCCTTGTTAAAGGCAATTGATTTTTGAATAAAAAACATGTATTATCAAATAAAGGTTTAATTTAATAACGCGTGTTGCCTCCATGGGCATCTACCACAGCTCTCATACGATTAGGCATAGAGTTTATTAACCGCTCTATAAAATTTTGAGGGATTATCTCCCATTCCTCTTCTATGGCAGTTTTCAACTCCTGCATCGTCTGGGCAACTGGCTGACGAGCCCTAACACGTCTTTTTAGCTCGTCCCACATGTGCTCAATGGGGTTCATGTCTGGGCTTCTGGCTGGCCAGTCCATAACTGTGATGTTCACATCCCGAAGATATTCCCTGACGATGCCGGCCGCATGGGCTCTTTCATTATCATGCATAAAAAGGAAATTTGGGCCCACATAGTTCGCGTATGGTATCACGTGAGGTTCTAAGCACTCACGAATGTACCTTTCAGCATTTAATGTTGGCAGCCGTGGTCCTGTAACAACCTCAAGTTAAGTTTTGCCGCTCGCGGATATACCGCCCCAGACAGTCCATGAGCCACCGCCATAAGCAACCCTCTCTTCAAAGCAGCATTGTGCGAAACGCTCTCCTTTACGTCGGTAGACCTTCTTCCTTCCATCATTGCCATGTAACACAACTTTAGACTCATCAGAAAAGAGTACACGGCTCTAATGTTGCTGTGTCTGTGTCCAATTTAAATGACTGCGTGCGAAATGAAGGCGCGCTGTTCGGTGGGCTCGCGTTAGTTTGGGCCCATTAGCGGGCTTGTGTGGTACCATATCGCGTTCTTTTAACATTCTCCGAACAGTTCGAGCGCTCACAGATACTCCGTGGAAGTCGCGAATTTATTTTTGTATCTCAATGGAGGTAAGGTGACGATTTCTCAAGCTGGTCGTCACGATGAATCGATACTGCCTTTCAGTTGTGACCCGAGATCCCGTGGCCTTCCTTGGCGACGAACAAAGCCGCCAGTCTCTAGGTACCTCCGATAAACATTTCGGACCGCAGATCGACTTAAATTAAGTTGAGCACTCACGTTTCTTTGGCTGTGTCCGGCCTGAATAAGTGCCACAGCTTGGGCGGCGACTTCAGGTGAAGTATCCATAGATTATTGATAGAACCTCACCTTAATGTTAAGAATAAGTAATGTTTGTTGCAAAACCAAAGATATCAATCACTTTTTCAAGAATTAAATCCAAGTAAACCAATAAAACCAAGTTTTCTTAGTATTCGATTGTTTGATATCAACAAACAGGCTCCAAATTGTCTTTTGTTTCTTTAAATTCTGTGTTCGAAATTCAAAAAAAGACTATTGAATGAAATTGTGAATGTGCCAGGTTCAAAACTGCATAAAAACTTTTTGCTCGACCTAATATAAAATTTTAGCCAGGACCAAACGAAACTGAAAATACAAGGTGGGCCAATAGATGTGTTCAGAAATGTAATATTGTTAAAAGTAATCACTTGTTCGTTCACAGTCGCCGCGCTAATCACTAACGACCAGTCGACTCCATGCACGTCTTTGAGTAACCAGTAGTAGTACAGTCAATCTGTAGGTTGAGTGGTGAAAAAAAAACCTAAAGGGTAAGTCTTGTTTTTTCTGTTGCCAAATGACGTCAGTAAGCCACCTTGGCGATGGGCATGTTCAACTCGTAGGCCTTTTTTGAAAAACTCAAAAAAACCGTCAAAAATTTTTTGAAACGCATTTTTCTTGTTTTGTATGCATTTTAGAAACTTTTTTTTTACCATAATTGTAGAGGGCGTTGAGTGCTACAATTTATGTCATTGTTGCAATCTCGTACAACAAAAAATGCGCATTGTAGGTGGCGCTAAAGTCTAAAAAAAGTGTTTTTTCACTTTTTCACCCTGAAAATATCATTTTAATGGAAAACTTTAAATGGCAAAGTTGTTTCGTACATAATTACCAACAACTTTTGTACAAACAATTTTTTTGTATTACTTACCGTTTTCAAGTTATAAATTGCGCAGGTATGAAAAATCCAATAGAGCGGTTTTGGGCAGTTCACGTACACATTTGCAGTGCACATTTCAATGTACGTTTTACTATTTTTTCATGATTGAAAAACAAAAAAAATTAAAAAAGAAATAGTTTTATTTTTATTTTTTTCATGATTGAAAAAAAAAATAGTAAAAACTTACATTGAAATGTGCACTGCAAATGTGTACGTGAACTGCCCAAAACCGCTCTATTGGATTTTTCATACCTGCGCAATTTATAACTTGGAAACGGTAAGTAATACAAAAAGAATTGTTTATACAAAAGTTGTTGGTAATTATGTACGAAACAACTTTGCCATTTAAAGTTTTCCATTAAAATGATATTTTCAGGGTGAAAAAGTGAAAAAACACTTTTTTGAAACTTTAGCGCCACCTACAATGCGCATTTTTTGTTGTACGAGATTGCAACAATGACATAAATTGTAGCACTCAACGCCCTCTACAATTATGGTCAAAAAAAAAAAGTTTCTAGAAAGCATACAAAACAAGAAAAATGCGTTTCAAAAAATTTTTGACGGTTTTTTTGAGTTTTTCAAAAAACGCCTACGAGTTGAACATGCCCATCGCCAAGGTGGCTTACTGACGTCATTTGGCAACAGAAAAAACAAGACTTACCCTTTAGGTTTTTTTTTCACTGAAACGATATTTTTTTCGATAGATTGACTGTACTATAGCCTCCCGATCCAATACACCAAAATTACAAAACAAATAAACAAAAGGAAATCTACTGTAATACGGGCGTACTCGACTCCGTTCATTTACACAGTCGTTTACCCGAATTCCATTGGCACCCGTATTTGGGCTAACGAACAAGTGTAATCGTACCAGTATGCTGCGCCGTCAAGCTCTTCAGCGCGGTTTAATTGGATTCCCATACACCCCCCCCCCCCCCATATTGGATGATTTCATGGATAAAAACTATGTCCTTTACCGGGATCGAGACTATCTATATACCAAAATTTTCAGTAAATCGGTTCAGCAGATAAAACGTAAAGAGGTAACAGACAAACACTTGTGACTGCCTGCAACTCCGTCTGTGTGGTTTAATTGGTTTCAAAACACCTCCCCTCTCTTTACCCCTATATTGGACGATTTTTGGTTTAAAAACTATCTTTTGGTCTTTTGCTGGAACTCAAACTATCTCTATATCAACTTTCATCTCAATCGTTTCGGTGGTTTAAGCGTAAAGTGGTAGCGGCAAGATAGACCACCTTTCGTATTTATAATATTAGTATAGTTAATGTTTGAGTCCAACACTTGGTAGATGCACATGGTTATATTAATAAACAATTATATAAATATAATTTAAATAATGTGAACAACTTACGTGATCTCTTTGACCAGTGTGTATTTTGAGGTGTGCTTGGAGGTTTCCTTGAGCAGAAAATCTTTTGCTACAATAAATTAAAAGCCTATTAGAAGGATATTTAGATTGATAAATAAATGTAGGTAAAGATATAATGACAAATGAATGTAGTTTCTTGACACAAAACAATTAGCCCCATCATCGTAAGAGTTTCTCAAAATCAAATAAAAATAAAATTAGTAGGTACCTAAAGGTGCTTACATTTAGCACTCCCTTAACGCATTATCCATCCATTTTGTCCACCCGAACACGCTTGTCTTTTTTTAAAAACTCACGGTATATGGGGCTAAAAGTATTATTTTAAAACATGTTATCATTTTAATTTCTTTGAAAACTTTGGAATTTAGAGAAAATGTTTTAGGATGAATTCAACTTGACTACTTTTTGGATTTCAGCTCTTTCTGATATCCCGTTCATAACTAAAAAAAAGGTAATATTGTGGTCAATGTGTAAAAATAATCTTTCCCAATTATGAAATGAAAGGAGTAGCGGCGCGGAAAGCGACAAAGTACGTAATCAGCCCGCCACCCCCTGGTATCAATTTCAAACGAACTAGCGCACTCCGACATCCGGGCGAACACACTGACTAATAAATAATGCCATCAAGAAGTCAGGTACCGGATGTACCGAATTTCTTCTGTATAACTTAGGCAACAACGCAGCGCCATCTCTTCACAATAAATGATAAGCAAAAACTTCGGATGTTATTATCATCTAATTCGTTGTAAATATATGTTACATTTAATTTTTTTTTGTTTATACTAACTAATCTCATAATAATTATCACTCCCTTTTTTCTGTTAATGAAAATTAACATTTTGTGGTCCATTTTGCTTAAGTCTTCAAAAAATACACTGCTGACAACGTCAAATAGAATTAATATTATTTTGTTGTAATCCTTGTACAGAACATAATAACAATTAGGTATTTGATAAGAAGTCTGGAGTTGCAAAGTAATTTATTGGTGTTTATTATTTTTTATCGATACCATATTAATTGACATAGTTTGGTAGGACCCCGGGTACATTGTGATATACCGTGATCCTACCGGTAGGACAAATCGATGGGACCACGGGCCCTTCATCTTAATTGAAAAATGCATCATGATTTTAATAGTTCTGATGTTTCATTATTTCCTATTTAAAATATGGTCAATCCAGTTTATCATGAAGTGTACTTATTCAGGTAAGCCTAATCTGGCCTAGGAAAAACTAGATTGTCGTAAAATCGGGTTTGGCCGGTAATTACCTAAGTAAAGAAAAAATAACGCCCGATTCCAGCCTGTTCAATGTGATGATTCACTTTTATTTATTGTGAAGAGATGGCTCTTCACAATAAATGATAAGCCAAAACTTCGGATGTTATTATCATCTAATTCGTTGTAAATATATGTTACGGGCATTTTAGAACAAACTAGTTTTTCCTAGGCTACACCCGTTCATCTTTTAGGCGATAGGATAAACCAGTACAGACTACGCTAAACTGGTTCGTCCTATAACCGGTAGGATATACTAGTTATACCTAGGCTAATAGTTAAGGCTAATATGATTAAGTACACTTCAGGGTAAATTGGTTTGACCTAGTCTGTACTAATTCTACCTATATGATTAAGCGTGAAAATAATCAAGTTATTGAAATATCTCGGCGGACTGCAATCACAAAATATACAGTTTAATCAAAGCAAGGTTTTGTAGGATTTCGGCTATCAAAAATGCAAGAAAAAAATGTTCTCTGCAATTCGAAATGCCATCAACACTTTACATGGTGTAGGTACCGAATGGCAGGTCTAAATAAAAAAATAAATATTACCAACACTCACACCAATTAGCCTAACCCCAAAGTAAGCACTGTAAGGTTTGTGTTATGGGATACTAGGGTAACGGATAGAATACATATATAAGTATATTTATATATAAATACATATTAAACATCTGCCCCCACCGGGGATTCGAAACCGGGACCCGGCGTACAAACCACTCGACCACGGAGGTCGCCTTGCCAATTTGTTAGCCTAAAAATGCCTTTGAAAAATTTGTTGCCTCCCGTCCAGCAGACTTTTTGTATCACCACGTTGGCAAAAATGCATTGATGGCAAGGTTAATTACTTTGATTAATAAAAAAAGAGCGTTAACTTATTTCATGAAAAACGGCAATTTTATAGGTAAAGACCTAATTTTTTTTTGTTTATACTAACTAATCTCATAATAATTATCACTCCCTTTTTTCTGTTAATGAAAATTAACATTTTGTGGTCCATTTTGCTTAAGTCTTCAAAAAATACACTGCTGACAACGTCAAATAGAATTAATATTATTTTGTTGTAATCCTTGTACAGAACATAATAACAATTAGGTATTTGATAAGAAGTCTGGAGTTGCAAAGTAATTTATTGGTGTTTATTATTTTTTATCGATACCATATTAATTGACATAGTTTGGTAGGACCCCGGGTACATTGTGATATACCGTGATCCTACCGGTAGGACAAATCGATGGGACCACGGGCCCTTCATCTTAATTGAAAAATGCATCATGATTTTAATAGTTCTGATGTTTCATTATTTCCTATTTAAAATATGGTCAATCCAGTTTATCATGAAGTGTACTTATTCAGGTAAGCCTAATCTGGCCTAGGAAAAACTAGATTGTCGTAAAATCGGGTTTGGCCGGTAATTACCTAAGTAAAGAAAAAATAACGCCCGATTCCAGCCTGTTCAATGTGATGATTCACTTTAAAAAAAAATATTTTTAAACTCTTATAAGGTTGATGTTTATACAACTAAAAATATCATGTCGGAGTATAAAGGTATTATAATTTAGACATAAATAGGTTTTATTCGAATATTTTTTTCACCCGATTTGTAGGAGTACTTTTTTAATTAATTGAATTAGTTTTATTCAATCGTTTTAAACATATGCTATGAACCGATCCAATGCATGTCATATATGTGATATTTTGAACCCTGCATAGTCATAAAAATCTAATAATTTATTTAATTACCTGCAAACCTCGCATTGAAATGGTTTTTCTCCTGTGTGCACGCGGAGATGTATAGTCAAGTTGTGCTTCTGAGTAAAACGGCGAGGACAATACATACACAGAAAAGGTTTATCTCCAGTATGAGTTCTACAAAGCAGAAACGAATATTACAAAAAAGTGGCATGCGGGTCGATAAAAAAATGCTCCGTGCACAAATGTGGGTTTTTATTCACACACATTATTTAGACGCTGAATGTACACGCGCAAAGGCATGGACTTATAAAGAAAGGCGGACAGAGTCCCGGTAAACAATAAACTGTGTCGCTCAGAGTCGGCCAGGTCGCTATACGTACAAGCCGGCACGCACACATTCACACAATAGTCAGCCACTACGCGTGCAAACGTCAAAGCAGCCGACACGTTTCGTGGAGATAAAAAATAAGCTAAACAAGATATCTTGCTTGTAAAAAGGTGTAAAAACCGTAGTGACCGAAAGAAAAAAAATCCAGGAATCACGTTTCATAGGTAAATGAATAATTGAATCACTTTTTTCTAGTTTTTAGAAATCGAAATCAATTTTAATTCTAAGGACAAAATGATTAGTCTAAAGTCCAGTGTTGCCAATGTTCATGTAACCATATTACCTAAAATATGGGAAATTGGGTTGACATTAACTTCAATCTATTATTTATTATTCTTTTTTATCAGATTTTCTTAAGAAAATGTAGTATGGAGAAATTACTGGAAAATTAATGATTTCCAAACAAATATGTAGTAGTGTCATTTTGTACTATATTAGTTAACACTGGTTAATTATGGTTTAAATAAAAGACTTCTATTCCATGTTGAATTTATTAATTGAAAAGTCACTGTCACAGATTAGTGAGTATTCACATAAGTGTCATCAAATGTTGCCATACATATATCACACACATTTTTAGTCTTCATTTTGAAGTTCAAGACTTATATACAACTAAAGGAGGACTCCGGCGTGTTATTACGTATGCATTACCTCAAAAGGTTGATTAAATTTTTTAACCGACTTCGAAAAGAAAGAGGTTCGCAATGCGTCATATTTGTTTTTTTTTATTGTTGTTCGCGCAGATCACCGAGATTCGTGGACCGTTTATGATGATTCTTTTTTTGTTTTAATCAGTTTACTAGCGAGATGGCTGCATATTAATTTACTGGAGATCTGATGAGTACTTTCGGAGGAAAACAATGGAACTCCTCAATTACAAACAGTACTCAATGGGTGTTAGTTTATTTTAAGAAATATGAAAGAGAATGCAGGCCAGGCCATCTATATTTAGTTGATTTACCCAATATTGAGAAAATTCGATATATTCTAGAATTTCTCCTGAGTCCCGACTGTTAAAGTAACTTTGTTCTAGACTACTGGACTTGTTTTTTCTTTATAGTACATTTTTTTTTATTTACGACAATATAATTTCATTTTTTTTAATTACACGAGTTGTATATTTTCTAAATATTCTTTTAAAACCCTTCACTTTGATACCTCGCTTGACGGGTTATAAAAATACTTATACTTTTTTTTCAAAATGTTTCATTTTGGCGCATAAAATCTGTTATTTTGATTTTTTGAAATTTTAATATACCCAGTGCCACTCACACAATTACGACAAATCAAATGACACCTCGCATGTCAAAATCCGTCAAGACGTTCAGGCTGTAGGGCGTGCCAAATTATTGGACATACATACATACATGCATACATACGCTCGAAAAACATTATCCTCCGCAGTTGGGCAAAAAGTAAAATTTTGAACAGTCAAAATATTTTCACCTTTTTACTGTGTTTTATTGGTAAAAAATTGGCTAACCTAGCAACCCTACAATTCACTCACTCATCAATAGCCGCCGCCATTACAGTGCCTCAGTTTTGTCTTAGCCGAAACTCTGTCCGCCTTTTTTTATACGTCCATGGTCCATCCATTACATTGTCTTATGATTTTAATGTTTTTGGTGTTATTATGTGTAATATTTTGTCCTAATTATTATAACGATTATGATTTTTCGAACAAAAAAATATTTTCTTAAAAATTCCCTCACAAAAAATATATATAGGGTGAAATTGAATGTTTCTATGAATCTTCGTGAGATTGTTGGGTTATGTGTATAGAGTATGCCTGTTTTTTTTCGGATTTTTTTGAAGTATATTTTTTTCATGTATTTATTTATAATTTGTGTATTTTGATGTCCTTTCCTCCTTTTGAGTAGTTATTCATTTTAAACAAACAAACTTACATATCCAGTGAAAAACAACTAATAAATAAGCACTTCTAAAAAACGGAAAAACATTAAAATTCCACCGCGGGTCAACGACCGACCGCGCCCGCCAGCCGTTGAGTGAGTAGGTACCTAGCTCTACACAGAGCTCAGCTGACTCGTTTGATTCCACACAATACAATAAAATCGTCTTAGATGCCTTTATTGAAATTGAAATAATAAGCACAAATGTCATCTTCTCTTAAGCAGAGAAAAACTTTAAAAGTTAATAATAATTTTGTCACGATTGGAAATAGGCAAATGTTAAACAAAAGGAAATACTTATTGCAGTTCAATACTTGGGTCAGAATGAAATTTATAACCAGGTAGTCAAAAGTACTTACGAGACAGGCGATGTAGGTAGGTACAACGAGGAACGAGGAACATATAAATTTTTTTCACTAGAACTTTTTATCAAATCAATCACACTGGTAGTACACAATTAGTTGTTTCTAATCAAAAAGTATTTACACTAGCAATAAAAAGAGACTTAAATTATTATCTGCAAAATTGTTGCTCTAAACCACCATTTTGCTGCAAACAAAGGTAGGCATGTTTGCGGACGTGTCTTTTCACCTTTTTTAAAGTGTCCCTATCACTACTCACTGCACAAAATGCAACTTCTATGGTTTGGGGACTCATTCGTAAACCAAACCTACTTCGTCACACTCGCGATAGCAGTACACCATCTCTAAATATTCCTGGTTCGTATACCGAGGCATAATGAAATTATCACAGTGTGTCACTAAGTCAAAAGATGCGCACGCCCACGCGCGATTGATATACTTGCGACTGCGTTTTGCATGCAATCAAAGCAAACTACCGCATGCGGGGAAGAGGGGAGGTGGGCGGAACTCACATCATCAAAGACGCCGCAACCGGCGCTAGTTGCCAGCGTGCGGCGCGCCGCCCGCCCGTGCTTGCCGCAAAACAACATATTATTATGTGTGTGTGTGTGTGTGTGACTGTGGCTGTGATTAAATGTGTTGGGAATTTCATGACGTGGGCAAATCAGACACGAAGAGTTCCTTCCTTCACTAAGCTCGTAAGTTATACCGATTTGGTCTGTATGATTTTTCCCAATTTTAAATAAGCCGTTTGTGCTTAAGTTTTAATTAAACAAGGCAACTAACATCTATACTTATAATAAATCTGTAGAGAGGTCAATTCTGTACATGAAATTTATTTTCAAAATAACTATCAGGGGGTGATTAGTGATCGATACTGATGCCAAAAATGCAATCAGTAAAATTTTTGTCTGTCTGTGTGTATGTTCCTTATAGCAACAAAAACTATTCGACAGATTTTAACGAAACTTGGTACAATTATTCTTCATACTCCTGGGCAGGTTATAGTATACTTTTCATCACGCTATAATCAATAGGAGCAGAGCAGTGAAGGGAAATGTTGGGAAAACGGGAAAAGTTACTCCATTTTTTAAGCTTCCGTCGCGTGTGCAGCCTTAATGGTTAAAGTTATATAGAAATCATGTATGACGGAAATATTCTACATAAAATTGTCTAAAAATATCCCACAACAGCATATGTCTATCTTTTATGGTTGACTCACAATAACACGTGTAACTCCTGATAGCTTAGCAGATTGGAGCATTCTGATTATATTTGATACGATTTTCAGTTTTTTTGTTAATAATAATATTTTTTTTATTTCAGGCAAAAGACCCATATGACAAAATTTATATATATTATTATATGAAGAGTCATTTTAGTCTACACTACAGCTGCTACGAAACGAAGCGAGGGCGGGCCACTAGTTAACAATAAAAAAGAAGTTCTTACACTAACAGACAGGCTTTACCGATTTAAAATCGTGACAGTCATATTAACTTTATAGGATTTTTAATTGCTCTAACGGAAGATTTATTTTATTGATTAATTACCTGTGCTTTATGAAATAATATTCAAAGGTATTGTGTATCAGTGAATAAATAATTATAATATAGCATCTAAGACTATTTTATTGTAATGTTTTTAAATAGTGTGGATCAAAGCGGAGAGTAGGTAAGCGCCGAGTCATCTGTGCGTGTAGTAGGTACCTACACAGGCGGCCGCCGGTCGTCGCCCCGACCGGCGCTGATCTCGACTGGAGGCATAATGAAGGCATTCATTAAGTTTCCGTTTTTTTAGTAGTGCTTATTTTAAGTTGCTTTATAACTTCTGTGTAGACGTGTTTAAAATGAATAATTACTCATAAGGAAGAAATGACAAAAAAATAACGAAATAAAAAATTAAAAAACGGAAAATTTTATTTTAAAAAATCCGAAAAAAATCAGGCATACTCTATACACGTAACCCAACAATCTCACGAAGTTTCATAGAAACATTCAATTTCACCCTGTATATACATACATGAAACAAATTTTTTAAAACAGAGTTTCTGTTTAGAAATATCACATCTATAATAAATCAAGCACAATAACAAGGAGCGCAAAAAAATATTTTTTTTGTAGACCATTATACTTCTCTTTCTATCTTTTTGTCTATGAATAATAACTCTTGTCTTAAAATTTAAAGAAAATATAACTAGAAAAAATTCCACGCGGACCAGGCGGCAGACGGGACTCGAACCCGCACCTTTCGCAATCCGGGCGAATGCACTTACCAATTATGCTACCTAGCTATTCTTAAGCTGCAAGGTAGCGCCATCTCTTCGCATTGTAGGTAACCCACAATTGTAATTATTCAGTCTTGTATTTTATTTACTTATTTGAACAGATGACAGATGATGCTTACCTAACATGCATTTCCAGTTGTGCTTGACATCGAAACTGCTTGTCACACTGATAACAGTTATGTTCTTGTTTAGGCTTTGGTTTTGGTCCACGTTTTTGTTTTTCAGATTCTGTTTTTTTTTTATAATTGGAACTACTTTTTCTTTGCTCTGGTATCTTACATCTGCTGTAAGTCATGACTTCACGTTAGAGTATAAAGACACATTTACACTTGGTCGTTAGCCCATATTCAGGTGCACTGAAAGACATTACTTAAAATTTGTTTTGTTCATTTACACTTAGTCATTTGTCCGAATTTCATAAGCAATCGTATTTAGGCTAGCGACCAAGTGTAATTGCGCCAATAGAATATAATTCTCTTAAAATAATAAAGAGCAACTGCAAAAAGTGTGACCATCCATCTCACAGTCATATGAACGAAAAAGGTGGGTGCCCTCATACCTCTACGTATTTTAAAGCTCCCCCAGACCATGCTCCAATTTTTTTTTATCTTTATTGTGGGAAAGCCTATAAGGAATAATATAAAATGTATTTACAACTCACCATTTCTTAATAACAGTTGTATGTATAGGCACCTGAAAATAATAATAAAAGTTTTAAATGAAAATATAGAAAACCAATAGGTACAATCATTTTTATTACACTTACAGGTTCAGTCATAACAGCAGCATCACTGCACCTAATAGAAAACAATCATTTTAAATACTGCTATGAATTACTATTTACAAATACCTGCTTGAATATACCCACTTCAAATTTATTTGTGAATGTACTCACTTTTCAGGCATTCTGAGGCCTAAATACTGCCGAAGGCGTAGATCAGCACTTTCACAAGTTTGTTTAAAGTGATATGCAATTCCAAGTTTGTATACACAATTGCTACACATTTGTTCTGGCAAACCATCATCTTTTCTGATCTAAAAAAGAAGACTAGATCAATCATTGACAATCTTTCTATAATACGGGCCTTAGAGGTAGGTATAGGAGGAGCATAACCACAGAAAAACAAACTCGCGCTGTAGATGCTTTGGGTTGTAAAATTGGGCTAACTTGTCTATGGGCGCAGCTCAAGAAGTTTTCTGGGGTGTATAAATATGAAGTTTACCCTTGGATTTGGTCCCACCTTAGATTAAATCAAAAATGGAAGATATGGCAAGCTCTTACTAAATGTACAATAGTCAGATTTATTAACTACAAAAATTACTCTCTCACACATGCTTGTGAGAGGAGCTTGATGGGGCAAGTAGTTAGCGCGTTCGGGTGCGATCGTTAAAGTTGAGCGACTTTCGCAGTGGTCGGTCGTTGGATGGGTGACCAAAAATTTACTTATTTAAATATATATCCTTGCACTATTATTTTAAAATTCAAGTGCCCGTGCAGCTCGTTTGCTATTTTAATTTCGACTAAAGCGTGAACTTAAGCCTAAAACCTAATTTCAGTAATGAGAGGATAAACAATACCAATAACTGCAATTATTGTTATCCAAAGTGTACTCGTCAAAAAACATACGTTAATCCGATTTTTATTATTATTAAATTAAAGATCTTACGATTTAACGGCTTTGTTTATTAATTAATCGGACAGCATAAAACCAACTTACTTTTATAGGTGAACAATACTCTATCATATCGCAAAGAGATAAATTAAAATTTTTTGCAAATATAGACGACATGACTCCCTCTTCCAAGCATATACGGCAAATTTTATTCATTATTTTATTTTACACTTCTCCCTAAACTCATTAGTATAGTATATATACTCTATAGTATAGTAAACTGAGATAAAGCTGTTTCTTTTTTTAATTTATTGAGCTTTGGCTCCTGGGCCATCAGCAAGACATAAACTGACAAGTGACAAGTAATGCTTTTTTTTACTAATTAAAAAGGCTTGGATGCTGTGACAAGTAATGAAATTTACTTTTTTTTTTAAGATTCTCCCTTTTTACGGTAGACAAGGAGAACAATGCCCATACAGCCTAGTCTTAAGTTATATTAATCTTCTTTTTGACGTGACAACGTCTTAAATTAGGTTGCGGCTGGGAGTCACTTATGAAAAAGTGTAACGCTCGGTAACGTTACGATGAGTCTCTCGTGTTAAGTTTAAGTTTACATGTACAATGTTTTAGTAAACAAAATATATTTCTATAGTTAAAATTTGTGCAATTCTTATTTTCATTCAATTCCTTGTTCCTATTGTGCAATTTAATTATATTCATATCAATAAATATTCTACCGAGAAAAAGACGTTGTCACGTAAAATCTTCGCCCGTAAAACCGACTTTACAGGCAACCATTTTTTTTGTCAATGTCGGTGTAACGCATTCTAATGTTTTTTCTTGGATGTTTGCCACGAAATGTATCGAGTTGGCTTTGCGAGAAGCTTCTGTGAGGTAGCCAACACTACAATAAATTTTTCACGTCCACTAGACCGGAATAGCGTATATTTTAAAGATTCTACTAATTCTTCAGTTGTGCAGACGGTTGTTACACAAAATCACATCAATTTTATTTCACAATATCTACTATGAACGAATTTATGAATAATATAAGACGCCAACCGCACTCGATGAAATCGCGCCAAAAACTCTTTTTTTCTATTTGATTTTACGGCACTGGGTTCTAGCCCTTTTCGGTGGTAAAGAAGTTGCAGTTTAAATTTCCTTTGAGTTGCTTAGGATGATACCACGGACGGGCGGGTAATATCTTCTGTATTTCGTGGTACCATTTCCCTTTCTGTGAAACAACATGATGCCAATACTTGGACCACAAACATTTTTGGGACTCCGCTAAGTAAGTGTAAAAGTCGGTGTACGATACTTTGCAAATTTGAAATTTGAGTCTGCAATCCTCAATTTTAATTTTATTTTAACAAGAATAAACCTGAATTCAACAAAAAAATTAATAAAACTATGGCAGAAGAATTGTCTGGCTGGACTCTGATTTTTACCGATGCCTCTGAAATCACCAACGGAGAAGCTGTAGGTGTATCTGTTTGGATCCCTCGCTTTCAAATCATTTTAAGCTTTAAATGTCATGCAGAACTGTGGTCCTTCTCGGGACAAGGCATTGCTTTAAATGAAGCCATTAAAGACGTTGAGGGTCTCAACGTATTCTGAAAAACTCAACAAATCCTTATTTTTTAGTGTTTTGGGTGATATTTTAAAATTCCCTTTACGTGCCAGACAAATTTTTTATATTACTCTAAAAATCCCAGAACCTTAGTTTAACTGCCGTTCTAAAAATATAAATGTGGCCTTTTCATGGATCTCTGGTCATTCTGGTATTAAATGTAACGAAAAAGCTTATAGCCTTGCAAAAGAGGCTGTAACGATGGATTACCCAACCTAACCCAACCTAAAGCCGAATCATATCGCGCATGGTCTGCAAACTGGGACGACTCCTCACAGTTCAAAGGGAAACATTATAGGAGTTTCCAGCCTTTTTTTCCCTCTCTGTGGTTTTTTAAATCCTGATATGATAAAATCTCCACATTTACTATTATTCGCTTGCGTCTTGGTGACATATGCTCCCATTTCTTCTTATAGACATTAGGGTTAGGGAGCACTCGTTATGCGAATGTGGTCTTGAGGAAGGAAACGTTGATCATATATTTTTCAACTGCCCTAAAAATACCATCTCCCTTTATAATATCCTGCCTAAAAATATCCCCCGCCTGTGCATGTAAACCACTTACTAACATGGTAGACTCTCCTTGACAACTATATACACATTTATAAAATCAAACTGTAACTTTTAATCATCAATTTCTAACTGATGCTTATATCTATAACCGTTGTGTTTATAATTGTGTCGTCTGTAACCTTGTTATTTAACTCTTTTAGGTCACGCAACCGGCCAATAATGGAAGATGTGTAAAACTGCAAAAAAACTGATCATCTGTAGTGCTCAACCCTGACATTGGCAGAATAGGCTAGTTGACCCTTTTTGGAAAAAGGTTTTAAATGGTTAATAAATTTTCTATTAGACCGAAAAAAAATGTATTGTATTTTTTTTAAACTTAGAAAGCTACAAATCTTTAATTTTAATATAATAGACTTTTCATGGATATACAAAAACGCTGTCGGCCATTTTCGTCTATAGATTATCTATGCTATGACGTGAACTGTGGTAAACAAAAACTCGTAAATCATGGACGTATAAAAAAAGGCGGACAGAGTTTCGGCTAAGGGTACGGCCAGAGGGTACGGCCAGAGTGCACTCAGATTCAGATTTCGAAAACAAGCGCGAGAAATAAACAGTGTAGGCGAAGGGTACGGCCAGAGTGCACTCCTGATTCAGATTCAGATTCAGACTCAGAAAACAAGCGCGAGAAATAAACAGTGTAGTCTAAGCAGGTTGCCTGCTTTTTCTCGCGCTTTGTTTTCTGAGTCTGAATCTGAATCTGAATCAGGAGTGCACTCTGGCCGTACCCTTCGACTACACTGTTTATTTCTCGCGCTTGTTTTCGGAATCTGAATCTGAGTGCATCTGAATCACCCTAAGGGTGCGGCCAGAGTGCACTCCTGATTCAGATTCAGATTCAGATTCTGAAAACAAGCGCGAGAAATAAACAGTGTAGTCTAAGCAGGTTGCCTGCTTTTTCTCGCGCTTTGTTTTCTGAGTCTGAATCTGAATCTGAATCAGGAGTGCACTCTGGCCGTACCCTTCGACTACACTGTTTATTTCTCGCGCTTGTTTTCGGAATCTGAAAGAAAAAAACAAGTCCAGTAGTCTAGAATTCTGTTTAATAAGGAACAAAGTTACTTTAACAGTCGGGACTCATTAGAAATTCTAGAATGTATCGAATTTTCTCAATATTGGGTAAATCAACTAAATATAGATGGCCTAGTCTGCATTCTCTTTCATATTTCTTAAAATAAACTAACACCCATTGAGTACTGTTTGTAATTGAGGAGTTCCATTGTTTTCCTCCGAAAGTACTCATCAGATCTCCAGTAAATTAATATGCAGCCATCTCGCTAGTAAACTGATTAAAACAAAAAAAGAATCATCATAAACGGTTCACGAATCTCGGAGATCTGCGCGAACAACATTAAAAAAAAACAAATATGACGCATTGCGAACCTCTTTCTTTTCGAAGTCGGTTAAAAATTTTAATCAACCTTTTGAGGTAATGCATACGTAATAACACGCCGGAGTCCACCTTTAGTTGTATATAAGTCTTGAGCTTCAAAATGAAGACTAAAAATGACACTACTACATATTTGTTTGGAAATCATTAATTTTCCAGTAATTTCTCCATACTAAATTTTCTTTAGGAAATCTGATAAAAAAGAATAATAAATAATAGATTGAAGTTAATGTCAACCCAATTTCCCATATTTTAGGTAATATGGTTACATGAACATTGGCAACACTGGGCTTTAGACTAATCATTTTGTCCTTAGAATTAAAATTGATTTCGATTTCTAAAAACTAGATAAAAGTGATTCAATTATTCATTTACCTATGAAACGTGATTCCTGGATTTTTTTTCTTTCGGTCACTACGGTTTTTACACCTTTTTACAAGCAGGATATCTTGTGTAGCATATTTTTTATCTCCACGAAACGTGTCGGCTGCTTTGACGTTTGCACGCGTAGTGGCTGACTATTGTGTGAATGTGTGCGTGCCGGCTTTACGTACAGCGACCTAGCCGACTCTGCGCGACACAGTTTATTGTTTACCGGGACTCTGTCCGCCTTTTTTTATAAGTCCATGTCGTAAACACGTAGAAAATTACTTTTAACTGAGTTTATAATAAAAAAAAAACATGATTTCTAATAAATACCACGAAAAATAAAGTAATTATCATTACTGTATTCTACGAGAATATAAAAACACATCCTTGAAGACTTCAGGAAAGTTGTGGATTAAAGTGCCGAAAGAAATTAACCTACGCAACTTTATTACACTTATTCATATGTTGTATCAGTTTTATGTTTATTACTACAGTGTTGTCAATTCTGGCATGATTCTCTAAACTTAAAACTAAATTTAACATCAGTCTCTCCCTTTCATTCTATGTAGAGAATGACAAGGATACGTTTAGGTTTAGAGAACCATGCCAGAATCGACACCATTGTAATACTAAATGCACTGTACTTACGTAGATGCCTTGTCGTTTCTCTGCTCCGCAGAGCAGAAATCGGGGTTTAGTGCAACAAATTCACCAACCATCAATGCGTCAATTCTTGGCAGATCTGTGCTTTCTGCTTTCACAAAGCCGGCATCCTTAATTAGTTTTGTCAAAAAAAACTAAGTTTACTGTTTTTTTCTTTCCTAAAGTTAAAAGTGTTTTAAGATAAATTTAGTCAGACGAAAGAATCCACCTACAGTAACACGCGAATGACATTTAGTTGTTTACCACAAGAGACGTCAAAATCATGGCGGATGTGGCGAACAGCGTTTTTAGTGGTTAAAAAATATAGACTAAAAAATATTTTTTAAAATTAAATTTCTACAGCAATCTTCTGCTTTTATGAAGTGAAATCGATATATTAAGGTTCCTTACACTAAATACTTTAAGAAATAAACATTTATTTAATACAATTCGACATGAGTAAACTAGCCTATTTGAGCACTTTTTAAAAACACACTTAGGCATTGTTTTATCAATAAACACAAAATATTAGCAATATTTTTATTTTTGGCGTTCACATGTCGTTTGCATGTCAAGTTGTGGCTGAAGCGATTAGGGTCGTGGACCACAATTCATGCGGATCACTTTTGTGAGGCTAGTGCCGTATCTACCCTTTTTGTTTTAA